AGGACAAAAGACAGATGTGAGAAGAATTTTTCCACCCAAGGTTCTCTTCAGTGTCCAGTAGTACACAGAAATTATTAAATTTAACGAGCCCACCACATTTTAACCACCATTAACTAAACACTTGAAGTTAGAGGATCTGAGGCACATTGTTAATGAAGTAGATGATACACTAAGACAAATTTTCCACAAGTACCCATGCCACACACAAGCTGTTGAAAGAGGAGTGAAACTTGTTACAGAGGCGTCTACAGCTGTGTGTGGAAATGAAAACCGCATTGGATTTATCTTATACCGAATTTAGTCACGATCGTTGATGCCAAAGTTCAACACCAAATCTGAGTACAAATGTCACTAAGAGAACTGCTCTAAATATTGTTGGGAGGATGGGAAGGGCAGTGGCTGAACTGGACGTGCAGCACTTCCCCGTAGTGAGTGGTAATTTATGCAACAAAGCATAAGTTATCGAAGAGTTGTACATAAATATGAACAAAATCATCTGTATTTTTACCATAAAAGATAATAAGATTCACTGTTGACATGGCGCTATTAATCTTTTATTTCATAGTTACACTGATGTCATCTCCGGTATCTTTGCTTAAGCCCCATCTGGAGGGTTCCAGGTTGGGTCCCTTCTCATGCGTCTATACCGTTGTCATCCCTGTCTCAGGCGGCTGCCTGTCTCTTGCCAAGTTTGTCCTTTTACGCCAGGTCATATACGGCATTTCCCTCTCGAGGGCCATCAGCCAGGTAGTCTTCAGTCGTCCACGTGGGCACTGCCCCTCCACTCTCCCAGACATCATCTTCCTTGGTAATCTTTCCTCTCCCATCCTTTCATTATCCTACCATCTTAACTGTACCTCTGTGCGTCTCTCACTCTGTCCAATATTGGTATCCGCAAACCTGATAACTCTCTCACGAAGTCGTTTGTTTACCTATGGATCCAATGGGTCTACAGATTTTCCTCAAACAATATATTTCAAAGGCTAGCAATTCGCCTTTTCCTTGAGTCTCAATGTCCACCTCTTATCCATAAATTACTGTAGACAGTATACCATTGACTTGTACAGCCTTATACTTATAGAATCATCTTTCCATATTTTATGTAATTTGTTCATTGTCGCATGTTCCGATTTAAATCTTTCATATATCGCCCTGTATTCACCCCTTTCTTCCGCAAACCATACTCCCTGATACTTGAAGGTACTGTATCCACGTGTTGTATATCTCCTGTTTTTTATTATATTGTTATTTGCACTCTTGTTCAACCAATTTCCATTTGTAGCTTATATTTCACGTAAACACCTTTTACGATCGTTGTGATTTGCTGGATTACCTCTTTAGTCTCTGCTAATAAGGTAATAATATCAGCATATCTCAAATTCATTATTTATGTACTCTCCACCGATCAGCACTCCTCCTTCATACCCCTCTAAGGCCTCTGACTCACCCACCACACTCTACAGATACAGGTTTAAGAGGTGGGAAGATAAGGAGCATCCTTTTATCACGCCATTAGTATTTGTATTAAAATTATCTTTTTTACTTTTTTACTTTTATCCTTTTTATGCCACTGATCGGCTCATTACCCGCTTCTCTGTTTCTCCAATTAGAATGTCTGGATGGCGAGTTTGTAGTTTTGGGTATTCTACCAAATCTATGATAATGTGGCCAAGGGTTATTTTGAAACCAAGTACTGTTCTCTATTCCACAGCTTGAGCTGGTATACCATTTCATAAATCTACCACCCTCTGTGTGAAGAAGCATTTCCTTTCATTCTACTTGATAACTTGGCTAGCTTGAATTTATGTCCCCTTGTGTTGGTGGTGCATGACATCATAAACAAATTGCCTGGGTTCACATTTGTCATCCCTTTTTAAGATTTTGAATGTCTCAATGAGATATGCCTTATTGTGCCTTGTCTGAAGGGTTTGTTAGTCTTAAGGCCTTCAGTCTACTTGGTTGATTGAGATGACACAGTTCCAGAATCGTCTTAGTCATTCTTGTGTTTTACTTTTTTTCTAGGGATATTAGGTCTTTCTGGAGGTAGGGTTTCCATGGGTCATATGTGAGATTTATACAGTTGAAGGAGCATTTTCCTATCTTTCTACTGTATTTGAAGGTACACATTATATTTCCCAAATCTCTGTTTGCTTTTCTCACTGCTGCCCCCACTAGTTGCGCTGCCTTCAGTGACTGATCTATCACAATACCTAGATTTTTCCTGATTAACAGTATCCAGGAAAGTGTTATTAACAGAATTGTGATTAGGGTTGTTATATCCTATGAGTAGGGTCTTAGATATTGTAATATTAAAGAGCATTTGCCAGTCTAAAGACCGTTTGAACAGCTCAGGTGGATCTTTCTGCATTTTTGCAGCACCATCTTGACTTACTCTCTTCCCATATACCTTTGGGTCTTCCACAAACTTGTCAATGTAGCTCGATATATTTTCAACTATGTATGTCATTTATGTTTATTATAAACAGAGTGGCTCCAAGATTAGATCCTTGTGATATTCCACTGAGAACCTTTTTTTCCATTCAGAATCTCCATTTATGACCACCCTTTGTTGTTTGCCTTCAAGCCAGTTGATAATCCACTTCAAAATCTTCTCTGTGATGCCATGTGCCTAGATCTCAGGGGTTAGTCATGCATGTGGGAGTTTGTTAAACGCCCTGGAGAAATCCACATACAACACATCCACTGATAAACCTTGGTCCACGTAGTCTGTTACCATTTAAAAAAAAACGTGAGTAATTTTATCGTGCAGGATTTTCTTTCCATGAAACCATGTAATTGTGCATTGATAAGACTGCTCAGTCAGGTGTTGGATGATGGTATCCCTCAGAATTTTCTCAACGTTTGTATATATGGTGTCAGGCTGATTGGCATATACTTTTCTGCTGCACTTTGCTATCCTTGTATACTGGGTTGACATTGCCTGACTTCCAGTCCCTAAGCTCTTTTCCTTTATCCAAGGATTTTCTGAATAAGAGTCTTAGTGGAGTGCAAATCTCGTTTGCCATCTCCTTTATCACTTTGGCCTGTGCTCCATCCACTCCAGGGGCTTTGAATGTTTAAAACTGGCTATATTCCTTTTGACGATATCTTCTGTAATTACTATTTCTCTAAATTAATTTTACACCATTGAGGTATACTTTCTCTTGGGTACAGAACTGGCATGTTATCCATTATCTCTCGTGTGAATGCTAATGCAAAGTAATCATGTAAGGCATCTGCAGTATGTCTGTCATCCTCCAGGTCCACATTGTTTTCGTCCTTTAGGGTGCCAACAGTATCCTGGCATACCTATGCATAAAAGGACATGAGATCTTTCTTAATATTTTGAGCTAGTTTCATCTTGAAGGACTCATATGAACTAAACACCTATTATCATACCAACTTAAGCCTCATCTGTTAGTTTGGGATAAAGCTATTATGCTATATGCCATCCTTACCACCATTTGCTACCACCTGAGTTCCTCCATCTGCAAATTGCAGTTTGACATCACAACTGCATCTAGCCTATACAAATGTGTACTGATTCCTATAAGAGCAGCCCGGGGCATTCCAACCTTTGTAAAAATTACCAAAGACTAATAGATTACTTGTGAACTCACCTTTTGCCAATCTAACATTTGTCATCGTTATTAAATATAGCTGCAGTAGAAACAACTTACTTCAGGTAACAAAAAGCACTTGTGTTGCAATAGCTGCAGTAGAAAAAACTTACTTCAAGTAACGAAAGGCACTTGTGTTGCAGACTAATCTAACATCATTTTTTTTCCTGCAGTTATGTGTCTATACACATGTGCACATGCATATAAACATGTTAAGGTCAGCTTTACTACTTATGATAGTACAGGTGTATATGTGCAGATTTAATTGCAAAGACTGACAAATGTGCATGTAGTCAAGCAAAATCTCTTGTTATTTCTCGAGGGTCAACATGTCTGGTGACCCAAAATTATTATCAGTGAATCAAAAAATAAGCTGAATCAAGGGAACAGAAGAGAAAAAAAGTGGAAAACGAGAAAAATATATACCTGTACTTGTAATAGAATCATAGCAAATAGCTAATGGTATAAATAAAACAAGAGTGAGATGTTACATTAAATAGTTGGCTGTTGGCTTTAAAATATATGTTCACTTAGAGCACTACAATCAAACATGACACCTTGATCCATCTAGTGTATGTCCAGTATTTTCTTAAAGGTCAACCAGATTGGAGACCTAACCACGGACTTGGGTAAAATGTTTCTTACGTCTGCATGCCCAGTGAGAGAAGTTGAACCCTTTAGACTCTTCATAACCTTCATGATGGCCCCTTTAGTGTCTTCTCTACTCTCACCCTCACTGATTCTGTTAATCAAGAACTGATCAAATTTGTATTTATTTTTTGTTCTAGATATGTACGTTCTGTACTGTATTCATCCTGTCAAGGCAACATCTGGTACTAGTTCTGTGTTTTGATGATTTAATAATTCAAATATTTCGAGTTTCTTTAAAGGTTTGCTTATTTTTATGGTTGAAGTACAGACATACTTTTTTTCTTTAATAGGGATTAGCCCACCCAGGCACAGGTCACCGGCCCACATCTGGGCAAAATAAAAATTAAATATTTAAATGAAAAAATAAAATAGATCGAGTGAACAACGATATGTAGTATTTGTTGTGTTGTTAAAGTAAAATACAATTGAGACCCTGCAATTGTGTAAGTGAGGTAGATAATCAGTCAGATCATCAACTTGGGACTTAGTCTCAATTTTTGTGATGCCATATTGCAGCAGGGTCTACCATTTGACAACACATTATACTTCTACTGTAATATCTTTCCAGGCGGTAGTACCTCCGTTTGATAGCTGCCTACTACCCACATATGGTTAATAAAATTCATATGCCGCTTCACCTATGCATTGAGGGGCATACAATTAAACTGAGTACAGTACAAGAAGATTGTACCCTGTATTAGAATGCCAGGACAGTAATATTAAAAAATCAACATTTCTCCTTTTTTATGTAAAAATACATAATTTACATGAATATCTATCTGCCAGTCACTGGACGATTGGGCTTAAAGTACATATCACAGACAAATTACTTTGTTAATTGTGGGAAAATGGAAGAACAAATACTAAATCACTATTTACATATGGTAACCTATTACATTTTCATGCTTTTAAGTTTATAGGAACCTATAGTATATCAATTTCTTGAGGAAATGATACCTCTTTTCCATAAACTACAAATATATCAAAGTAATACTGCTCTCTTATCTCAACATTGGTACCTCTCCAAAAATGTAGACATCAGCATAAAAACAATTAAACAATTTACTGGTACAAAGAGAAATAAAAAAATAAAATAGACACATGAAAATTCTTCATCAAGAACAAAGATATGCTATTCAATACTGCATATATAAATTCACACTGGGATAAACAAAGTTTGTGGGGCAGCAATTTTGGTTTATATTACACATACTGTATATGTGTATGAACAAAATGATTGACAACTAGAGAACATGAACAAAAAGTACACATCTCCCCAACTTATTCAGAAACTTGTACAGGATGATGATGGCCCATCCTTTTTTTCTTTTTTCTTTTTACAGTACTGTACCTGTAAAGTACTTACTCCAACATGACCATGAGAAGATTTTAACTTTAACATGGTTAAAAAAAATGACATTAGCATTAAATACCAATGTATTGTAAGAGCAAATATATTCCCTGTAAAGGTAGTGTGACATTTCTGAACACTCAAATATCTGTTGATTCACTGTTATTACACTACTGTACTTCTTTTTGCCAGCAGGTAATATCCGTTGCTAAGTAAATTTCACAAAAAATGTAGTTCGACAATCCAATACAGTACAGTATATGTGATTCTTTATCATTTGCTCTTGCTTTTTAAACAGCAGATCCAATACATTTACAGACAGTGTCCATTGTTTTATTATAAACAATACTGTAACTGAAGGTGAATTACAGTATACATAACCTTCACAACCCTTACCGTTATCCACACAACTCAAATACCACATATCTATGAACAGGCAACATGCTCTTTTTCCACACCTAATGCAACATTCAAACCCTTGAGTATGTTAACTTAACCCTTTAATATCACTATTCTCATGGGAACTGGTCTTCGTATTGAAAAGGTCGAGATATTGTACTCACTGAGTTAAAAGATCTAATTATACAGGCTGATCTGTACCCTGGGAGTTGACATTGTACTCAAAAAGTTTAAAAAAAAAAAAATCTAATGATAAAAGTGAGCAAACATGTATAGTTATTGAAACATCTGGATAACCACTTGTACAAAATACTCTTGAAAGATAAAGCATTTTAAAGGAATTTCTCTATTGAGATGTACTCACTAACTTTTCTCTCCACAAAATTTTTATCATTCATGCAACTCCTCATTTCTCCCCAATCTAGCCTCAACCTATTTCCCTATTCAAAATATTAGTATGTTATATCAGTTTTAAATCAATAATATTACAAATACACTGTACTTTAAAGAAATTTTTTTACATATAAAATAGAAAATCCAGAGCTATTTATTAGGTCATCTATAAACTGTAATTTTATCAAACACTTTTCCTTAAGTCATCTTTCCTTGGTATAATTAAGTTACAATTTCCCTGAACTTCTAGCCAACCATACATTCCTTTTGATACCCTCCCCTCAGAGCCTCCATCATTACATGAAAATAACAAGTTTCTCAAAAATATCAAATTCGTGAAAACTAAGAATAAAACAAAGTACTGTAGAGTATATCTCTATTATCATTTATAAAGTCTTAATCCAAATTTTTTCAACATATTGCTACGAATAAAAAAAAAAGACAGCAGTACTGTATAGATAGTAAGCATTTATTTAATATCTTAGTTCTTTTCACTGGTTTGAGACATTCTTCTTACAAAGGCTGCTTTTATGGCTTAGATTTACATAGTAAATCCAAGACAGAATTTAATGGTTTATGCAGAATGTATCATATGAATCTGCTTTTGAACTTTATGTTGTCCATCAAAAATCTATTTATCCTGTCAACATACAACCAACTAAGTTGTTGTCCATGAGCATGATAATCATCTAAGGCAGTGGTTCTTAACTTTTTTGCCTCGTGCCCCCCCTCTGCATAAGTCCTAGACACCCCCCCCCCATGCAACCCTTGGTTATTATAGAGTGGGAGGGATGAGCAATCGTGTACAAAGACGCGTTCGGTTCCTGACCAGACTTTTCTCTTTGACCGCTCGCGTCCCCCTTGGAATCTTCTGACGCCCCCCAATTTAAGAACCACTGATCTAAGGCCTTTCCATAGTATTACAAACAAGATGCTTTAATCATAAGTCCTCACTATCAATTAACAGTGTGCCTCATTTATGAATCACTATCACTTCCAAAATACTGTACTGTAATATACTTTTTTCAAGTGACTTTTCATACACTTCATTTCATTAAGGTGTCATTAATGCAAATAACATTGCACTCGGGAATTGTCATCACTAGGCACTTTGTTTTAGGCAAGAGTTCTCACCAATGACTTATATGATGATTTCCTCAGGAGTCATCATCTGAGTCAGATGCTAAAATCCTGTCATGTCCAGGTACTGTTGTAGGGTCAAATGTGGACTCAAAGCACCGACGAAAGAAAAATTTTGCCCTCTTGGAGGGTGGAGTCCCAGGTATGACGTCCTCTTCTTCTGTAACCTTATTAACTACATCAAGGTTCGGTAGAGATATCTCAAGCTGGGATGCATTAACATTGTTTGTGTGTGTGACTGGCTGTGTGGACAGATGACGTGCCGACCCATTACCCAGTTGGGGGTTGTGATTTCCACGAGTTGAAGAATTGTGAGGTGATGATAAACGTGCTGCAGAGGTAAATATTTGACTTAACATTCTACTGATTATTGAGATAAATTTTACAAACAAACACTACCTATACTGTACCTCCAATATATTTTTGTAATCATTTATTTCTGATTAAATCTGACACAAAGAACTGTATGCTATAAAAAAATTTTCATACACATTTTTACTTATAATACCTTGGTTAAGTGAAGTCTCAGAACAATCTAGCTACATTAGTTACTAACATCATTGACAGCACGGGCAATTCACCCAAGGCTAGCCAAGCTTGCACCTAGAGACAATTTCTAAATCAGATGATTCATGACCAGAAGCAGAGAAAGAGCATCTCATTCTTCATGCCCATATCTCCTGATGAGTTAAAATAAAGTGTTCTTGATTAAATATTCAAGAAGAAATAAAAATAAAAATTGTTAAGGCCAGTGACTAAAGTTAGCATTGCATAAAAAGACTGTTAAACGTGTTTTTAAATGCTTCACCTCTTAGAGAGGCCATTAAACATTTTAAAAATGTTTCAAATCAACTCCTGGGGAACCACGAGCTCAGTCAGTGAGTCTGTTCAATTGAAATAAATGCCTTAAAGGAAATTATTTTGCCGTATTTTTGGGGTTGCAATTCTGTACCCTATACTGTACAGTATAGCCTACTGAAACACAGACTCATATACAGTATCACAATTCACTATTTCATAGTACTGTACAGGTATCCCTTGAGATACAAAAATTCGCTTATAAGAAATATCCTAAATTGAAACCAATATTTCGTGTTGCGAAATCTTTCCCCACTTATACGAATTTGGGTTCCAGTAAAAATTAAAATCAGGCGCCCTCAGGAGTCAGCTAGGGCAGCCACATCCTCCTAGTGCCCAGGCTGAGGTAGGAGTTATGGTTATTTTTCATCTTGTAATTTCGGGTATACGAGTATAAACATAACTTTCTTCATATTTTCCCTTAAATTCAATGCATGCACAATGCTACAGAATACCCCTCAAATAATAAAAATTCTTATCATAGGGTCAAAAAACATAAAGGTTATAGATATTTCTTCATGAACCACCATGAGTTAGCAAGATGACCTGGGGGAGTTATGTTATGATTATTATTCAACTTATAGTTTTGTTAAGATAAACTTAATTTTCCTCACTTTTTTTTTTACTTAGTTACATGCACACACAATCCTACATACAAACTGTAATATGGAAACAAAGTAAAACAAATAACTATCATAAGATCAGAAACATAAAGGGAATAAATATTTCTTTGTGTGAAAGAGCAGGGGAGGGAGTGTTGCAGAGGCAGCAGGGCTGGTTGCTATGGCGACACTTGATGGCGGCCACACTTGAAGCAGCTGCCAGAATCTATGCCAATGGTGCCACTGGTGGCTGTGTTAAACTTTGATTTAGTATTTCCTTAATAGTTTTTGCTTCATGTTTCCATCTAGATAGTATTTTATTAATGTTTTTAATGTGCTAGGTAGTAAATTACAGTAGTTGTGTACTATTTATTATTAGATAGGTAGGTTTTCCTTGTTTGTTAACCGATTTTGTGTTTTTGGGGTATGATACTGGAGTATTTATTTCGAGATACAAAAATTCACCTATCAATTTATTATTATTATTATTTTTTTTTTTGGGGGGGGGGGGGGATACCTAACACATTCTGTTCCCTGTGCTTGCTCGCCTCTTTCACCTTTGCCTCAAAACCCAAACTTTTCTTTCTTCTTGGAAAAATGCCTCGGTTCAGCCCATCCCGAAGAAGGGTGACCATTCTAATCCCTCTAACTAAGGCCCCATTGCCCTAATTTTATCCCTCTCTAAGATTTTCGAAACTATCTTATATTCTCATTTTCTCCGTCACCTTGAACGCCTTTCTCTTTTGTCGTGTCACCAGTATGGCTTTCACCAGGCGAGATATATTGGAGATCTGCTCTCCTACTGCACTCATTTTTAGTTATCCTCTCTTAGGGATTATGGGGAAACTTTTGTCATGGCCCTCAACATCTCCAAAGCATTTGACAGGGTATGGCACAAGTCTTTGCTTTCTAAACTTCCCTCTTATGGTTTCTCTCCCCACTTTTTTCTCTAATTTCTAGCTTCCTTGAGAACCAGTCCATGGCAGTCGCTTTTTCTCTATTAATAGTGGTGTCCCACATGGTTTTGTTGTTACCTAATCTCTTCCTTCTTTTTCTCAATGATTTAATTCATACTACGACTAATTTTATCCATTCTTAGGCTGATGATTCTACTCTTCACTCTTCTTCACATTTTTCCCTTCCCCCTAATTCTCAAACTAGATCTGTTTCTAGAGCTGATATCATTTCTTATCAATGCGGATCTGTGCAGCATCTCCGAATGGGAAGGTAGAAACTTGGTTAAATTCAATAGTAAAAAAACACAGTATTTACCAATTACACTTTCCAAAATAGAAATCTCCCACCAATCACATTTCAGGATGCAATCATTCTGCCAAATTCTAAAACAGATATGCTAGGTCTCACCCTTTCCTCTAAAATGTCATGGAAGCCACACATCCACAACATTGCTAAAGCTGCCTCCCAAAAGCTGGGAATGCTGTACAGATGCCATAGCTACTTCACTCCCGAGCAGTTGCTTCAAGTTATATAAGGGATTCAGTCGTCCTAACTTGGAGTACTGCTCTCATATCTAGGGTGGCTCTTCTTCTGTCCAACTGTTAGATAGGGTGGAATCAAAGGAATTTTGTCTTATTAACTCTCCTCCTTTAGTTGAAAATCTTTCTTCCCTTTCTCTTCACCGCAATGTTGCTTCACTCTCTCTCTTTTACAAGTACTTTAATGGGCATTGTTTGGTAGATTTGGCATCCTGTGTACTGCCGGCAAGGCCGAGGACTCATAACACTCATCTTGTCCGCGGTGCCCACCGTTTCTGTGCGGATGTCGGCCACACTAGATAACCCGTTATAGTACATCCTTCTTTCCTCACACAGCCAAACTGTGGAATGCTCTGCCTCCTTCTGTGTTTCCATACTCTTAAAATTTGTCTCGCTTCAAAAAACTGGTTTTCCGGCATCTTCGTGGTGTAGATTAACATAGACTTTTTTCTTATATTTTTAATTTCTTTTTGCTCTTATTTTTTTGCCTCTACCCCCCCCCCCCATTGTGGGTTGATGACCTGTGCCTGGATGGACTATTCACCGTATATTTAAAAGAAAAAAGAAAAAAAGAAGTATCTCGGGGATACCTGTACGGTAATCCTTAGTACCACTCATGATATAATAAGGATCTAATGTATATATGCTTTGAGAATTTTGAGTGAGAGGGCTTTAAAGTTCCAAAGAAATTTGTATATTTGCTTTGCTGAGTTTGAAAAATCTTTTGATAGGGTAAAACACATTAAATATATGGATATCTTGAAAAAATTGGCATTAATAAATTAGTGATTAGATGGTGAAATTCTGACAAAATTTTTTTTTACTGACAACAAGAAGCTGCAGTGTTTATAAATAATGAACTTGGTAGTTGGTTCAGTATTAGATAACACAAGGCTGCATTTTACTGTACAGTATCTCCAACATTGTATAATTTCTATTCAGAATTTTTAATAAAAAAAAGTTGTAAGTAACAATGAAAGAATAAAAGTTAATGGAAAAGAAATATAAAAAATACATTATGTACAGCTACTCCTCGACTTACGACCGACTCAACGTACAACCACACGGACATACGACTGCCTCAGTCGTTCCAAAATTTTGTCAAATTACATATTTTCGAGTCCCGACGTTAGTGATTGCGCTGAGTACTGACAGAATTTTGGTTTGTAATTCACTTTAAAATGGCTGGCAAGCTTAAAAGTAAGAGTTTTGTGGTGCTGAGAAGAAAAAGAGACACCCATTTTAAATTTTCTATTTATTATTTAAGCATTTTCGATTTACGACCTGGATTTGGGTCCATGACCCCGTCGTAAGTTGAGGAGCAGCTGTACTGTAATTACACATGGAGGGATATTAGCAGAAATATTCGTTATCAAAATTTAGGGTAGGCCGGCCAAATGAACAGACAGGGATGGATGAATGAAATTAAAAGCAGAGTCCCCAAAGTGGTGCAAAATCTGGGAGGATTGGTTATAGCAGCCTGAAATTGTTTAGAGTGGAGGATCAAGGTTGCTAATCCTCAAACGTGAGGCTGGAACTTTGATGGATGTCGTCAGTGTTGGTAAAGGTAACAAGGGAAATTTGAATTGGTATGTATATAAATTGAGAGTCTGAATTGTTAGTATTTACTTTTCAACTGTTAGACATGCAAAAACTGTGTTAATGTTGTCCACATAAACTAACACTTCCTCCTCCCCCTGTATATACAGGTACTTCGTAAATTTTTTAAAAGAATCACTGTAGTGTAGGAGACAGAACTGATCAAAAATGCATAATCAATGGAATCTACAACAATAAAGAGTCATCTTACCTCTACTTTCATCAAACCTATTAGAAATATTAGTAATTTGCTCTGATCTTCTGACAGTAGAGGAATTAGCCTGCTTCAGACCACTGGTAGAAGGCATTGGTGTTTTCATCCAAGAGGCTGCTTGTGAACATGAGGGTGATGCAGAACTTCGTTGACCGTTTCCTGGTTTTGATGTGTGCTTATCTGTAGCTTTGTTCCGTGAGGCCTGAGTGTTTGATTTCGGTGCCATTGTTGCAAGGACAAATGTACTTTCAAACATTGGATGGTTGTCAACAGCAAATATGATTGGGCTGGAAGATAAAACACTTTAAACAATAACTTATAATTTAGCTTTACACTTTATATAATAATGATAATAAAGTCAGTAAAATGTTAACACTCTTGGGGTTTTCATATGCAAAATTGCGTATGATATAAATGATCACTTTAGGGTTTTAATACGCAAATTTGTGTAAAATAAAATTATTTTGTGTTTGCGTAAAAATGCTAGATACGCAAGACACACATTTGGCAATGTTGGCACGATTTGGCATCTACTGTATTTACACTGCCCCTCCAATGTTAGGTTACCACAACAGTCTTCTTTTGTGTTTCAATTACGCAAGACAACCTTGACTCACATTTTCCACACATTTTCTCACGGCTTGTGCTGACTTCTCGTTCACCACAGTGATTTCAAATAATTTACTTTATTCATAACTATGCTCCGTGTTGCTGGCGAGGGTGGAGGGGTGGGAAAATATAAAAAGTACAAGGAAATTGCACAATATGGTGATAGTGTGGTGCTTCCTGATGCCTTTACTTGTGCTTACATATATAAATACCTGTAATTATTTTATTGTGATTACTTATATAAAACTGTTTGTAGATAACTTATTTATGATGCTAACACAAGACATCCCACTTCTTTATCTCAAATAGCAAGCTGACTTATTATGTACAATTATCTCTCATGTGGTGCACTCAAATGTGGTGAGATGAGTAACAGACCAGACCAGACCCCGAGCGTGTCGTGGGCGAGCACCTACCCAAACCTAAAAGTATTAACATGATTTTTTATATTATTTTGGTGAATAATATAAATTTTTAACAAGAGGGAAGATTTCAATCTCTATTATCTGGTGTTTTCACTCTTCATATTTGCACTTTTAATAATCTAAAGCATTTACACAAATTTACCATTTTACAGGATTCTAAATTACACAAGTCTATAATTATATATCAGATACAAATTGGAGATTTTACTTTTCTTCTGTAAACAGCAATAATATACAAATAACTTCTGAAACAAATGTGTAATCTCACATATCAGTGCTGAGAAATTATAATGTACAGTACAGTAGTACCCCGATTTACGCGGTCAATTGAACCCACAGGGTACCTCGGAAAGTGAAATCCGCGTAAATGGAACAACAGAACATATGGGATTAATTCCAATAGAGACTGGCCCGACCCCCAAACTCCACTTTTTGACGACACACAATTATGTTGTAGTAAAAATTTTATCTTAACTTTATGATGGTATGCACAAACAAGTAATATAGAAGAGGTTAGGTTAGGAAAAATAAAGGTTAAGTTAGGAAAAATAAAGGTTAGGTTAGGAAAACTAAAAGTTAGGTGTAACACTTACGTTAGTAGAAGAGATGGGTCGGCATACGGGGATGGAGGCTGGTTCCGAGGCAGAGGGCAGATTACTGGCCCTCAGGTGAATCACCATTACTAGGTGCATCACCATCACTATCAGTTACAGTTGTCAGGGCTTCCCTGACAAATCCCTCAAAGTCACCTTCACTGTCACTATCACTATCACAGAACAATGGATGCACGTATACACGGTGTGGCCTGGAGGGATGAAACTGCCGCGGCTAGGTCAAGCGTCGTCTTTCCTCCCTCCCTCCCTCCCCCGGGTGGACACGTCATATTACTTTAAACCAATTACAGCTAGCAGCAGAGGGGGTTAGGGATGCATGGCCAATCACAGTCCGATACGTCATATGACGTCAGTGATAACGCAACAGAGACATGCACTGCGCAACCTTACCGCGCGGCTTGCGGAGGCGGGAGGCGGGAGCAGGCGGGTGGGGCGAATCTAAAAATAGCGTCGAGCCGGACACTCTGCGCGTATATGGGTAGACGAACCGCGGAAAGTGAAAGTTCGGTTCTGGCGAGGCACCGCGTATATGAGAAATCGTGTAAAGTGAAACCGCGTAAAGCGGGGTAATACTGTATATCTATCTGTACTGTACTTAGAGAAGTATATTAAGAATTTCACTGAATATTTCTCAGGAAGCAATCATTTAACAGAGTCAGCAGCTGTTTTTATATACTCTACATGTCATTGTTACATAAATTCATAATACTATACAATTAGTTTAGATAAGGAAATTAATAAAATAATTTTTTAAGTATTAATACATTTTGTAAACATACATCAGACACTGCGACCATCATAAAACTGATCATTAGCCATCACATACCGGTAAATGGTGTTCTTTTTTTACATCGTATAACTTATCATGCACGTATTGATTGATCGTATAATAGTCATTGCATGTACTGTACTGAGAAAATGTGACCATAGGAAGTAAGACCCATTACCTTGGTCAAAAACATTCAAACTTTGTGCAGTATCAATATTGAATATGATAATTTCCAGTATCTATCAGAGTGGCTAGGTACTGTACCAATGCCCCCACTCATCCCTGTCCCTATAAAACACAAATCCTCTTTCATCCCAATACTCCCTGCTCATACTCCTCTAAGTCACATTTTCCTTCACTCTAACCTTCAACTTTCTTTTAAACTGTTTTTCTTTTCTATTTTATCTCCTATTTCTCATTCATGACATTTTTCAAAGATCTTTTTTCCTTTCATTCATCTTTACCATCTACAAATACTGTCTATATCTTGTGCTCCTACCATTACTCACTTCCCTGGTTCAGTGAAATATGATGCAACAGAAAGGTTGATAGGTTCAGCAAACGCCAGAATTGCCCTCAGCTCCTTCAGGCAGAACGTGACCTCACAATCATCAGGTATATTGTAACTGTCAAACTCCCCTGCTTCAAGTGTCAATTCTGTGTGAATTGCCTTACCAGGGTCTGAAGAAAAAAAAACAGCCGTCATAATAAAAAGAATAAACCAATAAGTGTACAGAAAATAAATACAGCAACAAATTATGAATGGAGAGCAACTTACTCATCTGTACAGTATATATACAGTATTCACTAAATGTGTAAACAGTACAGTACAGGCAAAAAATAAAAAATAAAATAAAATAAAAATAAAAAATAAAATAAAAGACTGAAATTTGAAATCTCATTCAATGACTAATGGGAAGCTATAAGTGACCTGCAAGATCCATACCAGTGAAACACCCCAGAGAACCTGCCTTTGACAGTTAGCTTTCATAGGAGTAGTGATAGGACATTGCATCTCTGTAGTTTAAGTAATTCTGGTTTGGATTTAGCAGGCAGCTATTTGACTACTGATGGGTCTTAAAAATATAAGTACAGTTCAGTACTAATACATTTAAGGAGACGAGCAATAATTAAGTTTTTAAAGATATTATTCAGCCCACAAGACAGCTTTCATTAGAGCTTTGATTGAAGTACAGCATAAATACAATAAAAAATAACCAGTAGTATATTAGATATGTTAGTATAATTTTTTAGGTGCAAATCCCTTACAACAGTAATATCTCCATCAACCGGAATCTCTCTTAACCAGAACTCTCCAATAGCCAGAATTGAAATTTGCTCGTGATCTTCCGGATTTGGGAATGATTGTCCGAGGGGCGCATTTTCTAGAAAATTTTGCCGATACCTGGAAAATTGCGGGGGGTGCGGCAGTATTTTTCCGGGTTTAAGAGATGAAAATTGGGTGCATTTTCTGGAAATTGCAAGAAAATTTATCTGGTATGCAGAAAAATTCTGGGGATGGGGGATTCCAGGTTAGAGAGATGAAATAATACATTATTCTGGAAAATTCATGGTATGGGGGACTTTTTCCTGGTTTTAGAGTCATCTCATTTCCTGTAAATCTCTCATTCCCGATAGAGCTCTGCAACAATTCTTCTGGTTAACGGAGATATCACTGAACTTTGTTCATAATATGATTAAATTTAATTAAGCTCATTACAAATAAATTTCACTAAAACATGACAAAACATCCTTACCAGGTACATCATCAACAAAGGTCCTGATGACAATTTTGTTGGAGGAGACACAGAGGGTAACTTCCTCTTGGTTTGATTGGAAGTTAATGACTGCCTTACTTAGCACCTGAGCTTGACTCTTAATGTAATTGGTGCACGAGGTTTTATCATACGCAGCCTGATGATATATAAAAATTTTAAGACATGGATTGTAGAACTTAATTTCTGAATACTATATTTCAAAATAATTTTTCCCTGTGCCTGTCATTATTATAATATTTTTTTAATAATAGTATAACTGTACTAATCATTCTTTTTTATTTTTTTCATAAGTACCATAGAAGATATATAGTGGGGTTGTGTAATTATGCAAGAATGGTTCCATAATTTTAAGTTTTATTACCAATCTGCTTTATAGCAGTACATTGTTTCTATGGGAAAATGGGAGATAGGTTCTGAAAACTGCACAAAACATGCTACATTCTTTTATTAAATGTAGAAATACAGGTACTGTACTTGCAGCCATGTAAAGGTCCAGCAATGATCACCTGGTGCAGTCGTAATGTGATGTGAGGGGAGGCCTCACTCTGCCCGCTGCATTCCAGCTCATGGCCACACACTTAATTTCCTTAATATCCCTGCACTCTGCTTCATAATTCGAATGGAGCTCTCAAAGGCCCCATGCTGATTAGTGCTACTGGTTGCACTCACCCCACGTTTAAGTTCTTCAAAAATTTTAACTTTTCCTACAAAGGAAACCTCTTGCATGACTTCTAGGCATATAGAGTAATATAAAAATCTATTTGAAGAGAAGCACCTATCAATATTATCTAAAGGAATAATTGCCTATCAAAGGGACTCGGAAGGATTCATCACATTCAGAGACAAAGCACCAGTTCTTACATTTACTGTACCTGCAGTATGTTTAGCTGACAAAATTATTTCCCTTGAAATTATTCAGAGAGGATATTGACAATCTTATTTGTTTATACAAGCCAAGACTGACATACTATCTAGGTAAAAGATTATCTCTCTTCTGAAGACTCCTCCAAAATTACCAGAGGAACAGAAGAACTAGAAGCTCCTGGATCAGTACAACATAACAATTGTACTTAAGTCTTTTGAGGAGTGAGAGCTCCATCCCTGAGCCAATAATATATCCATCCAGATTGAAATGCTTGCTGAGCATTCCCTCCATGAAATCCTCAAATTTGGCTCTCTTCTTATGAAGAGCATGCCTGAGCTTCCCCGAGGTAATGTGGAAATTATTTCAAAGGACCTCTCTTACATGGTTTCAAAGGTTCATTCAATCTCAACACCTTCACAGATTTTCCCTAATGAAATAACAAGAATCCAGAGTACTGTAGTCATAAAGTTGCAATAAAAAAAAAAATAAAAAAATATTGATCTTCACTTACGTGTAAAGTTTCACACTCGATGAATGGCAAATTGTAACTTTTGACAATTCCATATTTGCATATGAACTGGATTCCTAGCTTAGCCTCTTCTCCATCCAGAAACAATTTGCTTCGCTCTACACTTCGTACCAATGTGACAAGTGATTTGAACACATTTAAACAGGCCTGAGAAAGAATGAGATATTTATCACAAATGACTAAAAAATTCCAGGATAATGTTGCCCATATCCCCTATATCAGGAGTAAGTTTCAATTAAACTGTTGGTAAATGGAAATTGGAGGCAACTTTGGTGAAATGTGGAATGCCAGGAATGAATGTAACTGAAGAGACTGATAGAAATATGTGCTAAAAGAGGGTTGATAGTCGAGAAAAAAAAGAAGGAAATTAATAAATTTACTGTATAGGGAGACAGAATAATGGAAAAAATAACAGCGTTGTTAAACTGTGATGATAGACAGAATAATGAAATGTACATTGACTGAAGTAAATGCACAGTACTATAAGGGGCCAGCACACACAGAGTTTGATCAGTACTTGGTAAAAGCTAGATTACAGAAGGCAAAGAACTCAGGAAAGAAAATGCAGAGACCAGTTGAGCATATATAAATGGGGGCAAAGGAAGGGTCAAAGAAGAATGTGAACAGTTCAAAAGTACAATACAGTATATACAGTCTTCAGAAATACAACTGACACTTGTGGGTACAAGAATATAGGATGAAAAACAAAAAGAAGGACTGGCATACTGAGAGATTTGCTGTACTCATCCAGAAGAATAGAAGGAAACATAAGCACAGACTGCAAGAGAGGAATGAAAAAAAAGAAGAAAATATTAGGAGTTTAGAAGAAAGGTACAGATAACAATAAAAGAAAGCTAGAGAAAAGCAAGTGAAGGATGGAAATAACAGTAAGGAATGAAAGAGAAGATATATTGCAGAAACAAAAGGAAGTGAATGGAAGATAAGGAGAAAAATTTTAACAACTGCTGAATGTAACAGATAGGGGAGGTGGAATTATCCTGTTTTGGACACAGTGGAAGGAATAGTGTCAAAGCAAAAGAGTTATAGCAGAAGATGGGGTGAGACTGGCTGGAGGTAAGTTCAAGAATGGCACAGCAACAGGAGTGGATGGAATCATGATGAAAATGCTATGAATGGGTGGAAGAATGACAGAGCAGATTACAAGCTTATAAAGACTGTGACTATGTATAAGAGAAGGAAGGGCACCAAAGGAATGACAAAGAGGATGTATTAGTGTCTAAATAAAGGAAAAGGAGATAAGAATTAATTTAATGAATTTATATGATATAGCTACAGAATCCACCATTTAACTATAAACAAACAAATTCTGACAAGTATATGTAATGGCCACAGAAAAACAACAACTTTTCAATTAAATTTCAAGTTGAACAGAATTTGTTAATAGCATCAATTTTTTTTATCCTAGTTGACAGGTTACAAAAAAGCTGGTCTCTAGAAATATTGTAAATATTTTCTGGCTATATTACCCCCTCCCCTTTGACACCTGCATGGCACAGAGCTCACCTTCATACTAACTTTACACTTGACAGCCTCCTCCCCAGCAGCAGACTGCTGGCCACCTGAACCATCGTTATAGTGAGCAAAGAACCGACTACCAAAATGAAATGAAGCAAATGCTGATCGTGATGAGTTGACCGCACGGAAGTACACGCCTGTGGAGATAATTGTTGAGTTTATTTCAAAACACTACAATGAGCCTGTCACACATATTTTTTTATTTCTATAATAATTATACATCTACAGTACTGTATATAGTGTTGCAGCCCAAATTTCTATGACACTTGGGAATACGTATCTGGCATGTAATTATGGGTCACAAATTGTGAATGAATTATGACTTGTGAATACTGCTTTTCATTTTTTATTATATGAGAATACTGTAACATTAAAAAACCCACAGTACAGTATAATAAAAAGAAATTCTGAGTAAAAGCCTGGCAAAGTTCCAATTCTCTTGGATTAGTGCTGCCCTTCCACTCTTTAAGACTAATCTTCTAGTCTTGAGTAATACTGTATAACACAAATACAGTACCTGTATATCATATTCTGTAATATAGCTTATTACATGTAAGTCTCGTTCAAGATTCTTCGAACACTGCTGGAGACAGCTGGCAACTCAAGGCCATTTGTTTACTATACAGGTAGTACTATAGTACGTAGTAAAAGTTATGATTGAATGTAAAAGGTTGTCAGTAATTGGTTACTTAGTTCCCCGTTGCTTAATTAATGGTTGGGCTTTGTTGTTTCTTATTATATTATAGTACGTAATATAGTAAACAAATGACCTTGAGTTACCAGCTGTCTCCAGCAGTGTTCGAAGAATCTTGAATGAGACTGTACATACACTATAAATTAATTAAACTATTTTCACTGGAAATCTACTTCTTGTTTTTTTATAAGAGTAGATCTTGAGTATCACCACATTAGTTTCCATCACATAAATTTCTGCTGCAATTTCCAACAGGCCTCGCCTACAGTTAAAATGCAAATAATATGGAAACTTCAGTCTCCTGCCAATTTATGTGGTCCTTAGAGGTCAGGATATCCTTAGGTGGAGAAAAATCTTGACTTGACAGTCTGTATAATGGGATAATACTATACATTACAGTACTGTCCTTCAGTATAACTATACAGTATTGGAAAAGTTATGATATACAGTACTGGTACTGTAGCTATTTACAGGCTACAATAATGGTTTGAGAACAGCTGGTTTAAAAAGAATACAGCTTACGTATTTCTGCGTTAGATAAAGACACTTATACAGTATTATAACTGTTCCAAGTTACACAGAAGAAAGCATATAGTTTCAGTCTTACCTGTTGGATATGGCTCAACATATAACTCTTCTCCTATTCTTGCCAATGAGTGAATGGCCCTTCCAAAAACTGTAAAACAAATACAAGACTAAAATTTTATATAAATTTAAATTTGGTAAACATATTTTATACAGGATGATACAAATCTTTTTAATTCCTTCCTCTACAACAAAACAGATACATTTGGGTAATATAAACTTGTCATACTAAAGAGTTATATACATTATAGTGGCTATATACCCAATACATATACTGTATACAAAACACAATACATACAGTTATAAATGATTATGGTACTTTAGAAAACAAACAGCTACCATAAAATGTTGGTCTAGTCTCCATGAAGTATATACTGACTGTATCCATGATATATTGTATTAAGAATTTCTTAGACATTTTCATTCTAACATTCATATGGAAGCCCTTTGTATGTCCAGTAAACAATTAAGACTGGTTGGCGAGTTTGATAATATATATATATATATATATATATATATATATATATATATATATATATATATATATATATATATATATATATATATATATATATATATATATATATATATATATATATATATATATATATATATATATATATATATATATATATATATATATATATATATATATATATATATATATATATATATATATATATATATATATATATATATATATATATATATATATATATATATATATATATATATATATACTGTATATATATATACAGTATATATATATATATATATGGACCATACCCCAGATACTGATGGGCTATTCTTATAGTAGAGAAAAGGAAAATTTTAAGGAAACATACAGTACTGTACTGTATCAGTAAGCATCCCTACAAAATACGGTAAATTTGGAAGACGCACCCGGAACCGATTTTTATTTCGGCAGTGTGATTTTCTAGTTTTTTATGTGATTTGAATAAATTGAAGCTTCATTTCTGTCAGAAATCACTCGTTTTTGAGTCTCCCCCCCTCCCTTAAAAATTGAAACAAAATTAAACTAACCAAACCTAACCATAACATAACTTAAAATAAGCCAAACCTAAACTAACCAAACTTAACCTTAACGTAACCTAAACTTAAACTGTCAAGGTGAGTGAAGCGAACCAGACCTTAGCGGTGCTCCAGTGGCGCGGATTACGTCCACATAATTTTTAGATAATTTTATGAAGTTCGTTATTATTGATTTACGACGGAAAGGTTACCAAGAAAATTTCTTGTAAATTATGAGAGAAGGGTATTTATCAAGCTAGTTTTTTTGTAGCTCTTGCCAGGTGGATATTCCAATACTACCAAAAATAATATTAATTTATCAAGGTAAATATTGTAAGGTATTCAGTTTAACTAGCCCTGCCTCTACTTCTTGATACTACTTGATAGTGCCCTCACTATCATTAGTGTTACAGCTAAATAATATTAAAAAAAAATATTCCTTCAAGTTTTTGGTGATTTTTTGTAAGGAAATAAAGCATTTATATTCTATATAATAATTTCCCAAGTTGTTGGTTAAGGGGTGTAACCACCATAAAGTATTACTGATCAAAACAAATATTTTAGCAAAAAAAAAATTAAGAAAAATAAATAAATAAATAAATATTATGGTGGCCACGCATGATTATATGTCCGGTATTACTTGACAAGAGCAGTCTGGCATTAGTACCAATGTGAGGAAATTTCTCTATTGAAGATAAAATCTACCTTACCTCAAGAAAATGACAAAGTGCATGAGGAATGCAGTTTGTGTTTAAAATTTAAGAATCATTCTTTTTGCAGAAAGGAATCTTTTTATATTTTAAAAGAACAAAATAGAACACAACTGTAGATTTTCAAAAAGGTTAGGTAGGTTAGTTTTCTTTATTTTAGGAACAATAAATTATATATATAAAACTCTATAAACGAAATAACACTTAATCGCAGAAAGTAAACATAGTTGTACAGAGACAGCTCCTCTTGTTACAGAAAACAGAAATGTTTTTAAAAATGAACTTTCACAGTGTATTCCTCCTCCATTTTTTGGCCTGTTTTACGAGGTAAGAAAGTTTTTATCTTCTCTGGAAACATTTCCTCAAGCTGGTGCTGAGGTCGGACCGCTCTCAAGTAGCCTAATACCATATGTTTACCTTGACATTTAAGAATAAGACCTTTTTAACTTTTATCCAAATCTTTAAGCAGTTCCATATATTAGCAGCATAAAAAGTGTAATTGAAGGAGATCGAGCACCTGGGTATCTATTTCAAATTCATTTTCAGATATACCTCATCACACTTTTGTCTGTAAATTTCATCCCTATCATTCTGCATCGTCTGGTGTACCCATGTTGATGAAGGACTTGGGTGGTCTAGACAAGTCATGGGTATTGTTGCATTTTCAACCAATGTGCGACCCCCGCTAGCACATTACGAGCCAGTTCCTGCTAATTAAGGTATCCATTCTAGGTTAGGTTAGGATGGTTTTTAAGTTGAGCAATTTGTTGGAGAGCCATATTGGTTGGAAATTTCGTCGTGTCATATAATTCCCCTATTTCAATATTAACACTTATATTTACATCAACACATTGTCTTGACGAAACTAGTCATGTTTACCCTTAATATTACTGCCTGGTATTGTGCACTTCATTACTTCTAGATCTTGAAAATTAAACAAATCAAATGTTGTCAGGTTTTGTTTACGTTTGGAAGTAACTTACAGTGACCCAAACTAATTCAAGGTTAATTCATTGAAGTATTTATCACCATATACACTCATTGATACAAAATTTATTATTTTAGAATAAAAATAAAAATAGTATCATTTGCTGCTTATGGAAACTTGGCAGCATGGTACAAAAATAAGTAAAATGCCTCTCTAATTACGCTTTTACATGAGTCGGAAATAGATTTGTTGAAGCTTACTACCAAACCCGAGACCCCTAGGGATGATAACGACGGACCTATGTTTATTTCCAATTAAAGTGTAATGTAATATTGTATTAAGAACATAAGAATGGAGGAAACTGCAGCGGGCCTATTGGCCCATACTGGGCAGTCCCGTTTACACCCAACCCCTATTGCTCATATGAGCATCCAACCTATGTTTGAAGCAATTCAGCGTATTCGAGTTAATGATGATATTTGGTAACTTGTTCCATTCATCCACTACTCTGTTTCCAAACCAGTGTTTACCTATTTCACGCCTAAATCTAAATTTGTCTAATTTAAAACCATTGTTACGAGTTCGCTCCTGGTTGGATAGTTTGAGTACCTTTGTAATGTCCCCTTTGTTTAGCCCTGCCTTCCACTTATACACCTCTATCAGGTCGCCCCTCGCTCTACGTCTCTCAAGGGAGTGCAAATTAAGATGCTTTAACCTGTCTCTATACTCAAGGTTCCTAATGCCCGGGATTAGTCTTGTCATTCTCCTAGGGGGGTCCTGGCGGCACTTTTGGGGGGCGGTCCGCCCCGGGCGGCACTTTTGGGTCTGCTCATCATCCATATCTGCAGCTACTGGAGACGTTAATCCATCCCTTTGCATCGGCGGCAAGTTAATCCTTGTCGTGTCTGACCTAACACCTGACCCACATCATCACGGCCCCCCCCCCGCCACACACACAACCTGTAACCTGTTGAGGATTAAGGAAACAACTTCAAACAAGTACGCCAGTGAGCTCATGTGGTGTGGGTCAGGTGTTAGGTCAGACATGACGAGGATTAACTTGCCGCCGATACAAAGGGAAGGATTAACGTCTCCAGTAGCTGCAAAACCATGCAGTCTCGGGTCATATCAGTTCATGTACAGCCGACCAATCCACCAGTTACAAGCAATTCACTTCAGTTCTGCACAAAAATCTTAAGTGCCCTAGAAAAGTTAACTGGTGAAGAAGATAATACAGCTACCAGGGCAGATGTTGGTGTTCTACTTGGTGCGTTGCAATCATTTTCCTTTTTGTGCTTTCTTGGCCTGTGGGGACCCGTCCTTCTAGAAATTAACGACACACAGACTTACCTCCAAACCAAGGGCTTGAACATACAACAATGTGATATAAAACTCAGGGCATTAGAAACATTTCTAGTTGAAAACAGGGACAAGCTAGTGAGTAATGGAGTTAACTATGCCAAAGAAATTTGCAATGATCTGGGGATAGTCATGGAGCGTCAGCGTCGACCCAAAAAGAAGAAACAAATGTTTGGTGAAGGATCACGAGATGCTGAATTGCCATACGACATTGAATTGAGGAGAGAAATGTTTTCTTCGCTGGACAGAGTGATCCAAGAAATAACTGAGATTTCAACAGCTTCATGAACTTGCTGAGAAATATGCCTTCCTTACCCCATTGAATCTTTTGGATGATAAATATGAGTGTCAAATAGATCACGATCACGACGACATTGATAAAGAGGAGTTCCTCGTTGAGAGAAAAAGACTTCAGCATTTTGTTGCTGTTGCTGCTATAACTATTAAAGACAGAATACAGACGTGGAAAGAAGGCCCCCTTGAACTTTTGCAGTTTATTCAAAAGTATAACCTTGGGAACTCGGTTCCAAATATAGTAATAATGCTGAGGATTTTCCTCACAATTGCTGTTAGTGTTGCTACCTGTGAGAGGAGTTTTTCGAAACTAAAACTGATCAAGAATTACTTAAGATCTACTATGAGCACCTTGCGGTTGAGAAATCTTGCCATACTGTCTATAGAGCGACAATTGACAGATGAAATAGTTTTTGACAATGTCATTGAAGAATTTGCCAACAAAAAAACAAGAAAAGTTACTTTGTAGAAAGTTGTAGTTTTCATTTCAGAAATAAAGATGGTCCTAATTTTTTACACTTTTTTACTTTTTTCCCTATCCTATATGTCGTTTTTGCTTTTTGTTTAACTGTTACTTATAAAGTTTAAGTATGTTTGGTGTGTATTTAAAGCATACTATATTTGAGTATGTGAAAGTACAGTAATATTATAATGGTACACAAACTATTTAATATATATATATATATATATATATATATATATATATATATATATATATATATATATATATATATATATATATATATAATAAGTGAGTCACTGTGCAATATGTATTTTTTGTGGGGGGGGGGGGGGCAGCAAACTCAAGGGCCGCCCCGGGCGGCACACACTCTAGCTACGCCACTGTATTGATTGCGAGATAAACTAATTTGTTTAATTTTTAGGTTTCTTCTAATTGATTAGTCGCCCAGATTTCACCCACCTAGCATGTTTTCACATAAGGAGACCCTGTAGGGTTATGAGATATTGGTTCACACTCAGGAGGGGATGGAGAAAGGAAACTCACAATGTGCTCACTGTATACATATTGTATTGGATGTACAATGCAGCTTGTTGCTGGGTAGGTAGCATGGTAATAAGCGTTGAGTAGAGAGAGTTGGGTGGTGAGGGTGCCCAGAGGAGGGACACGCGGCTTGAGGGACGCCAAGGTTGCTGGCGGGAGTGGCAGCCGCACGGCTGGCGCGGAGGAGGTGTTGCTTGCTGGTGGCACTGGGTAGAAAAAGAGGCTGGTCACATTGGTGTCAGGCCTTATAAGGCGGGGTAGGCGTGGGTAGATAGTTGACCTCCGCTCCGTGGGCGGCGCTGGAGGCGTAGGCTGGGGAATTCGAGAAGGTTCGGTGCTTGTAGGGGAGGAATCCACTACAACCCCACAGCATCCATTCCAACCTCCTAGCCTCTTACCAACCCCCAACTTCTATCCTAACCTTTAGCTTCCATCCCAACCCCCATCATCTACAGCATGTATATACTGTATACGTATTTTATCCTCTTCACTACTGATCGGCTTGTTAGCAGCTTGGGCTTCAGAATATATCTGTACCTGCGCCATTGTTGGTCAAGTCTGGTCTTGAATGAGCTTACAATCGGTACCGTCACAATGCCTCTATCCCAATCCCCCAGCCCCTAGCCCAAATCCCCGTCTCTAGCCCAACTTTCAGCCTCTATTCCAACTCCCAGTCTTTTTCCTAACCCCCAGTTTTATCCCAACCCCTTAACCTCTAAATATCCCAACCCTCAGCCTCTATTCTAATCTTCAGTCTATCTCAACCCCCAGTTTTGTCCCACCCCATAGCCTCTATCCCAACCCCCAGCCTTTATCCCAAATCCCAGCTGTAATCGCCAATTAAGACGACTGTGGGCTTGCCGGCTAATGAGACCCGTCACTATGGACGTGAACAATATAATTCAGTCATAACATGTCAATACAAATTACATATCAATGAATCAATTCCTTAACACATGATATAAAAGGCTTATCATAATTATTTTACACGCAGTAATCATAGCAGGATACAGTAACAGAATGACATTGAGCTATTCATCAAATTATAGCATAAAGAATGTGCTATTATAGAATAAGTAATTCTCGTATGCGCTAATTATTTGATACACCACGATCACACTTACGTGTTACGGGTCTAATGCCAGCAGAGTGTGGAGGTGTTCACAGTATGGCTATAAGATTTATTTATTGCCCCGCACGGGAGCTAGTTTATTGGGCACCCCCTTACATCCTGTGCAAGGTGAAGAGCAAAAATGTTTACAGCGCCCATCTGGGAAGCATGAGTAGTTCACGCTTTAGATCGATTTTTAGATTGACCCCGCATGGAGGTCATCTAGTTTTAAGATCTTACGGTGTAAACCTTACGGGATATTTAAGATAACTTAAATATCCTTTATAATTTACACACACACACATACGAGTATATATACATGTATATATATTATATATATATATATATATATATATATATATATATATATATATATATATATATATATATATATATATATATATATATATATATACTGTAGGTTGACAACCCTTTATCCGAAATTCCGAAAACCGAAAAACTCTGAAAACCTTTTTTTTTTTAACAGGGATTAGCCTCCCGGGCATAGATCACTGACCCACATCAGGGCCTGGGGGCAAAAATGTAATAGTAATAATAATTATAATAATAATAATTATTCATAGTAAATAAAAATTTTAATAAAAATACACGAAAATAAAATATAACATTAATAATAATATATAATAAAATTAATAAAAATAACAATAAAACAGCAGTATTGTAATAATAAAATGATAATAATAATAATAATAATAATAATAATAATAATAATAATAGCCTAATAATAATAAAGAAATACAAGAATGAAAAAAAGATCAAAAGTGAGAAACACCACCTAGACCTATGAATTATTATTATTATATTATTATCATTATTATATTATTATTATTATAACTTTTATTATATTTCCCTGCCCCCCAGGCCTGATGTGGGTCAGTGATCTTGCTAGGTGGGCTAATACACACACACAAAAAAATTTCTGAAACCGAAAATTTCCGAACTGAAATTTCGGCCCCAAGGATTTCGATAAGGATTGTCAACCTGTATATATATATAGCCTATATATATATATATATATATATATATATATATTTATATATATTGTTACTAATCGTGTCGTATTTTTTCTATTTTTTTATATATAACATGCCCCATGTTCCATATTATTCCTGTAATGATGTGTTAAATTTACTATTATATATTCTAGTCACCTTACCCTGTGCTGTTAAGGTTTTAACTGTCATTATTTGTTCAAGCCCATCTTATTTCTTTTATTTTGTATTGTAACCAGCATTCTTGTTCTCTAACGACCATCTGCATCGTTAAACGACCCACCGGCGAGTCGCGTGGCGGAGCCGACCTTATATATAGGACCCACCAACTGACTTGTTAGTTCAGTCCTCTTATCATACAGTCCACATCCTTTGAGTGTCACTTGTTACTTATACTTAATTTATTTGTGTTGTTCCTGTCGCCACCAATGTGGTATATCTATGTGAGTACCTATTTATGTCTCTGTTTGTGTCCATCAGTATTTGCTTAGTTGTATTCAAGTAATTCAGTGTTGTTTCACGTTAGTTAATTTCAGTGATAGTTTTTATATGTTTATGCAGTGTTAACGTAATCCAATGCTTTATTTTTATTCTTTTGATGTTTATGTTTTGTATCACTTGTGTCTTAAAAGTTTCGATGGTGAATCAATTTGTTGTGACAGCCTACGAGGCTCTTTATTGTGTTAATATTTAATCAATTAAATTCTTGAAGGTTTACTTATTTATTTTTATTCTTTAATTTACTTCACTTTTGTTTGGTTACGCCTAGAACCTGATATTTAAGTAAAAGACGGCGTAACTATATATATATATATATATATATATATATATATATATATATATATATATATATGGGAGGTACTCTGTGGGCGGATCCAAGAAGATTTGGGTGGGGAAACATGGCGAGCAAAGCGAACCCACTCACTGGTATTGAGCTGTAAACCCACCCTCCCTCCCTTAGATTTTTTAAATCTGACCATTATCATGGGCATTTTGAAGCCAGTGCTGACTTGATATTAGAGATATTCTGAGGTTCAGTAGTAATTACTTATTACTAAGTAATTACTTTTTACTAAACAAAATGCCGAAGTACAATACTGCATTAACTAAAATTATTGAATTTTCTGTTGAAAACGGATCAGAACCCCCACTCTGGATCCGCCCTTGCCCCCATGTCAGATTTTTAACAATGAACTAGAAAATTTAAGCCATTTAATATTATACTGCCGCATATCAGAACGAAAGAAGGGAATAATTTAGCTACAACAACCGTATATTAAGAACACAACGAATTAATCGGAACTTCTTTTTGTACAAATACAAATGAAATAGAAAACACAGGAAAGGTTTTATTTAAATTTCAAAATTGGAGTTAAATGTTCCATGATTTTTGGGGCATGAAAATGTCATTAATACCAAACATCGGCATTTGGGGCTCTGCTGGAAGTGTTTGGCCTCTTGAAGGCATATATTTTCCTTTATTTTCAGTTGACTTAACATTTACTGTGTATTATGAATTGATATTAAGGTATTAGCGGGTGATGAAAATACCAGCAAGTAATGTTTTTATTTATAAGAAAATACCAATTTGTTAATGGAGTCATAACAAAGGAAACTAGGTGCTACTATAGCGTGCGATCTGCAAAGATATATTTAGCCTTACCTTGCCTAAATATCTTGTAGACCGTACGCCAAAGTAACACCGGAAATTCATAATTAACTATTTCTGGTTCATTAAAAATACATGACTTTTTAAGGCTTCTCCAAAACATACAGTAGTTTTCATTGTAAAGGAACATTTTAAATACATGATTTGCAGAAGTATGTACTACCGACACTACTCATAATCAAACATATGTGTTGTTTAGACCAAGTTCATTTATATATGTAATACTTGTATACTTGAAGCAGTACTAAGTGTTCTTCTGTTTCTTTCCTGGCCAGTCGGCCTACTTGTATAATAATAAACCGGCCTTAAAATATTTTTTATTGGGTGTTATAATAATAATAATGATAATGATAATAAAGTAAATTAGATATAAAATCTTTGAAATTTGTTTAGCGATGGGGTTTGTTTATTGGGCACCCCTTGCATCCTGTGCAAGGCAAAGCTGGCGTTTACAATGCCCGCAGGAAGCATGCAGAGTTCATACTTGCCTAGTCGACTCATGCATTTAAGGGCGTACTGTAAGATTCTGAAGGGTCATGGATTTCATCGGCAAGATACATATAGACAGGGTGAGTGTGTGTGTGTGGGGTTGAATTTCCGATACAATACATCTGTTTATGGCTACCCACTAGAGGGTCAAGACAGAGACTAACTCTGATCCTTGCTGAGGTGGCTATGCCGAGAGAAGGAGGCCAACGAAGCCTGGCTCATATCTGTGGCTTTTTTAACGAGAAAGGTAAATGTCTCGAGTGGCTCCAGTTCCTTTATAATATTTTTTCATTAGTTATTAACTAATGTGCCCCCTTAATGCAACAATGTGAAACCGTTGGCACTGCCTCCGCGGCATACTTCATGAGTGCAAACTATTACTGAATAATGTCTGATTTTCGCTAAACGGATCATTGAAATCAGATAAATATCGATCCATTTGTATAGCTACATTCTATAATTATACATATTACATAATAGGCTAAAATGGTTTATGTGGAAAAAATACCTTGATAGATGTACTCGCTCACGCGGTGAAACTAAGTCACGGGAAAGGATCTCCGAACTGACTTTACCCTGAGTATCATCTGGTGCAGGTGTTTTGTTTTATCTCATTGGGGTCGATATTCCTTCAGTTTAGGAGGGAGCGAGCTTTGACCCCGGCTGTACACCGACAGTGTAAGAATATAATGTATGTACAGTCGTGAACAGAAGTCCTGTCGCCCCTTTTGTGCTGTTCGCGAACCAAGAGATTCAGACTCATGAACCCGAAGCAGTAGACACTGGTGCATTATTCTGCCCATAAATGCTTCGGTTCATGAGTCTGAATCTCAGGGTTCGTGGAGCAGCAGAAGGGCGACAGGACTTCTGTTCGACTGTACTATCGTGGACAAAAGTTCGCTCCTTCCCAAAGTGAAGCAATGTCGACTCACACAGCACACCTGCACCAGATAACAATCAGGGTAAGTCAGTTCGGAGACTCATTCCCGAGTCTCAGTTTCACTACAGGGAGCGAACTTTTGTCCACGATAGTACTATGTTGGACAACAGTTCCTTCCCTCGGCCAGCCACAATGTGACGAAATCACCTGAGGTTCCAATAACGAAGCAACTGAGGGAAGTGCTGTAATCGTTCAACAGATGGAGTAGTGTGTATGACGGGGGATGGGGACCAAAGGGGTATGGGGGACAGATGGAGAAAGAGAGGGATGGCTGAAGGAAGGGACTTTTGTCCACCATAGTACATGTACAGTACTATGTGTGTGTGTGTGTGTGTGTGTGTGTGTGCGCGCGCGCAATGAGGGTATACAAATAATCGTAAACTCCGTAAGTCGGTTCACCCAATAAAAAACCAGCAAAGCCAACAAGCCACAAAGCTTTTCATTAGGTTACGGCAGCAACAGGTGTTACAGGAAACGACCTGGTGGCAGAGCTTTCCTTCCTCCCTTCAGATTCTTATCAGATGATCCACTAAGGTCAACTGGCTGAAGGTGCTGCAAAGAAACAACGAACATATTACACATGTGGTATAGCTCTGTCTTCACCGTGGATCTTAAAGGGTGGTGGTTCAAGTTTTAACACTTTGAGGGTCTCTCTCTCTACGGGAGTGGCAGTATATTTTGAACCAGCTCAAAATACTATCGTTTCGGAATTATAGCAGAGAGCGACACACGTTCACTCCTGCCACTTACAGTAACGAGACACCACTGGCCCTACCTCTAACACTTACTCTAATGGCGAAGGATCTGACCACAGCGATGTTAATGACGGAGACGAAGCAGAAGGCGAGGATGCAGGTAGCGTAGGTGAAGCCTCTGCCCGAGGCGCCCTCTACCATCACCATGGCCAAATCTGTTGCTACCAACACCACCCGCACCCCGACCCACGCCCACACCAATCCATCACGCCCCTGTGCAATCAACAAAGATATTTGTGGTGTAGGGAGGTTGTGTACCGTAGTCATTTTTTTATTGCTCTATCTTATAGAAATTAGTTTAGGTTAATTATATTAAGGGTATATAACAAAGTGCTACCATTATGATACTTTTTAGTGATTAATGTCAGTTTCTGTTCATATAGAACAAACTGATCAACAGAATTATGCGCAATATTATATTCAGAATGCAAAAAAATCCTCCACATGTGAAACTTGTTTACCTTTCTCGCATATTATAATAGCCTTTGCAGCCAGGTACTTAAAAATGTACTTGAAAGTAGTATGTACTGTACTGTACCCGCAGGAGACCCGATCACCACCTACCTGACGGGCAGCGTGCACCAGCAGGAGACTCAGGGCCAGGTGTACCACAGTCGACAAAGTCAGCGCCACAAACTCCAGAAGCGGACCTGTATAGCAGAGGACGACCATAATAAACAGTGAGCCAAAAATCATTCATTACACTAAAGCTCTACGTAATGGGTAATAACACAGTTCTCGTATTTACCAGGATAAAACTGTACCTATACTTGGACTTGAGTGTGAACCTGTACTGTTGTCTGTGAGAAAAAAAAATATATAGAATTCTGCGTGAATATAAACTTAAGATAATAATTATCGTCTCGTTAGATTTCTGCATTGTTGGACACCTTGAATACGTACAGTCATGGAAAAAATACCTCTGGCACTACCTGGCATTAACTTGAGGGCCGTGTTGAGAAGGACTGGTATATAACATTAATTTTTTACGATTTTACTTTGTGTTATGGAGTAGTTTTCTATGGTGGCCAACCTTGGTTACTCCTCCACACAACCCTTGGTCATTCACCCCCCCACCACACAGCCCTTCGTCACTCACCCTCACACATTCCTTGGTTATTCCTCCACACAGCCCCTGGTTACTCACCCCCACATAACCCCTGGTCACTCACCCAGACACAACCCTTGGTCACACTGCCCCTGCACTCTCACCCCCACACACAGCCTCTGGTCACTCACACCCCACACAGCCCTTGGTTACTCACCTTCATGCTGGGAAAACAACTTCCTGTAGGCTAAGAAGATCAGGAAGAGAATGAGAAGTATCTGAAAAATATACACGAAAAAAAATATGATAATTGAAAAAAAAATCGATCAAGCGAAAAATAACAAGTAACAGATATAGTTACATTACTGATTTATTCTTAAAGATATTAATAAATTCAGGATTAAACGTCTATCACATAAGTTTATCGTTTAATCAGATATGTAAAGATTAAATCAATGATGAGGTTTGTGTGTAAAAGTTAATCGTATTTAAGTCAAGGGGATTATTATTTCGTTCTAACCCAGAGCTCCATCGCTTGTTTATGTTGTGGTTTTTCGTGTCGCATACTTATGTCAAATCTTCTCTTGGTTTAATGGTAAACAGGATCTCTTTCAGCACCATTACCACTGCGTCTGTTACACGGGTCATCAGCACCTCCAGTTTACTACCTCACTCTGCCACGACAAACAAACGTGCTTTGAAGTAAGCTAGCAAGTAAATAAATAAGTAAGCACGTTAGAAAGTAAGCAAGTAGAACTCACGATCTCCATAGAGGCGACGATCAGCGCCCTTGAGCGAGCTGGACAACCAGGGTTCATCACCGCCAGCCTGGGTCGACCTCTCTTCCAGCCGCCGCAGGACATCTCAGGAGGAAGGCGCTGTAGCAAGCACTCATCACCTATACACGCACATATTAGACCTCAGTACCTGTACACGCACATATTAGACCTCAGTACCTGTACACGCACTCAATGAAACTCATCACCTGTTTGAACTACCACACTACTATCCTTGCCTGTCCTGAAGACGAATAGAGGTACACATGCAAGAGACAGCAGCAAAAACAAAACAACAGAAAACAACACGGAGCCGCACGCTAAGACAAGTCACTCAGGCCACCACTAGGAGGTCACGTCTGGGCTATTTCACTGAATATATATTTTACAAACGAATTATAAAGGTAAATCTTTGTTTTCCAATAAGAAAAATTTATCTTGTATACTTATTGTGCAAAAACAGTTCCGTGTTTCGTGTTGTTGTTTACTCGTATTACGCACACTAGTTATCATTTATATTACGGGGAACTTTACCCAAATTCTTCATCATGAGTGTAACGCCACTTTTTTTTAAACTAAATACAGACAGTGTAGGTATAGCCTACAATGTAGTCGGGATCAAAAGTTTGCTCCCTCCCAAAATAAAGCAGTATCGACCCCAAGTGAGATAAAACAGCACAACCGCACCAGATAACAGTCAGGGTAAGTAAAGTTCGGAGACTCATTCCCGTGATTCAGTTTCACCACGGAGAGCGAACTTTTGTCCGCGACTGTACCGTTAGAGTGTAGGTGAGCGTTTTTGTGTGTGTCAACCAGGGGCGGTTCCAGGAAAATCGAAAGGGAGGGATCCAAGAAGTTGTGGGTGGTGGAACATGGCGAGCACAGCGAGCCCACCGAGCTGGAGGGTTTGGAGGGGGGGGGGGGATGCTGTAAGCCCCCAGGATTTTTTTCGAAATCTGACCAATATCATGGGCGTTTTGAGGCCACTTGAAGCCATGTGCGCTTGATATTAGGGGATATTCGTAAGTCAATAGTAAATAATCTTTCCTACACTAAAACGATTCGGTACAATGCTGCATTAAAGAGAAGTATTGGAATTTTCTGGTGAAAAGGGGGGAGGGGGGGTCCGGACCCCATGGATCCACCCTTGGTATACAAACATTGATAAACAGAAAGGTAACTCTATAAAGCCAATTTCCAGATGTTGCCAAGTGTGATTATCGTCAACAACTGTATGTACAGTACAGTCATTAATTCATGCACTGGCACACAGAGACAAGTTCACATGACAACGCGAAACCTTTCAGTAGGTTGTCTGTTGTTGTTTGCAGTCATTTTTTTATCGTTGGTGAGAGACAAGAAATCAAGACTTTCCCTTTTTTTTATTTCACAGCGACAAATTAAATAAATCTTATTTGTGAGATGGATGTAAATGAGTGTAAACGCATGACAAATTAATCCTACTCATGGGATGGATGTAAATGACTATAACAGATTAATCTTACTCGTGGGATGATTATAGTACGATGCTCCCGCTGACCGGTTCATCCTGGACTGTCTCAGAGGTGAGAGTAATCCTGAGGTTCTTTCGTGAAATGTTTGACGGAAAAAACACAACTTTCTCCAATTTTTTCTATAAGTACTATGGATGTCTTTAAAATTGTTCAAGAATTCTCAATAAAAATATCCCATACAGGTGATGTTAATAAGTCATCGTCACTGTTGTAGTTAAATAAAACATTACTTATATTCCCTTTTTTTCAGGTAAAGCAGAATTGTTTTAACTGTTTTGGTACTGTAAGTAAAATGGAAACGTCTTTGGGTTTCTACGGAGGATATGAGTTGTTTTATGATCGTTCGACTACTCTCATTTCAAGAGATGTGAAATTGCTAACGTTTCTGGTGGTGAAATGGAGCGTTTATCTCTATGTTCAGCCGTGATATGGGCCCCACGAGTATTTTTTTCTTTGCCACATCACACGGTCAACACCTTCCTAGTCACCTGCACCTCAAGTACACGTAAAACTCGAGGGATAAAACTGTGTTATGACTGGCGGTGTTGAAGGGAGGAGGCCAACAACTGGCCCAGCACTGCCGACCACACTCCAAGAGGTGCCTCTGACTGGTGAGGACGACCCACCTACCATTGTCCATTCAGCCCATCTGCCGCAGTCTCTACACACTGCGAGATACAACATATGATTATCCTTCCCATTTGTACATATCCACATTCCATCACCATCTTGAGGGACAGACTACGAGATGATAATTTAGTTTATTGATTAAGACATCGGCGTTAATAATTACAAGACCCATTACAAATAACAGGTGCAGATGTTATAAAGTGACAGTAGTAATGCAAACACCCTTCAGGATGTTTGGATGCTATTATGTCACGTCAATGTGCCACTTAGAAAAGAATATCGTATATGTATTTTACAGTATTCATGTCGAAGCTACACACAGACTGAGGTGTTGATCGTCACTAAGCACACCCAAACACTGGTTCCCACTGCTCCTTCCTGCCACTTGAGCCTCGTGACGTCATTAAGTAATTCTTTTCTGGTGGCACCCGCCATTGAACTCCAGTGGTGCCACATCCTAGATAAATCTCGAGCTGTGGTGCCACATCCAGGGTCATCCTCTAAGCACGATGACTTAATACCACATGTACAATGACTTAAACCTTACGTGCGATGTCGTCTTAGCCCGATGAATACAATGATCTAGTCCTTAAACTACTCAAGGGTTTAAGTCGTCTTACTCAAGGGTTTCAGTCATCGTACTCAAGGGGAAAGGTGGTAATACTCAAGGGTTTAAGTCGTCGTAGTCAAGGGCTTAAGTCGTCATACTCAAGGGGTTAAGTCGTCGTACTCAAGGGGAAAAGACCGCTAAGTCGTCGTATTCTCAGACGGTTTTTAGTGCATGGATGTCTTCCATCTTACAGGGATGCCATATTGAATTTGCGTGTTCTAAATATGGGCGAAAAAGGCCTCCTTGTATAGTAATTTAAAGTTTTATACATCAATAGGAAGTGAAAGAACGTCAGATAGAGTTCATCATCCGGTTTACACTGTTGACTTTACCGTTTATATGATATTGAAATAACAATTTTCTGTTAACCACTGTACTTACAGTAGACCATTTTCCTCATCAAACCTCAATTTAACTAGTTTATCATCCCTCTTATAATATGACCTAGCTTCTGTTCTACTAATAGTCATTAGTGTACATCTACCTAATGCAAGAACAATTACTGAATATCTGAGCATTTCTAAAGTCTATCTTGTTAGTAGTTGTACTTGAAGCTGTGACTGATCTTGATGGGACTATTTACGTCGGAATCAGTATTGTCTGCAAAGAGTTACCTGTACTCTTCTGTAGACACAATCAGGTGCATCACTGGCGGCTATGGTAGACAGGAACGATTCTCACACACACCCTTACGGAATCCCACTGAACGCTGTAACCCAGACAGACTCGAGACACTACCATCTTTTATCTTAGTACAATGACACCAATAAGGAAATTTATATGAAAGATTTACTGTACATACAATACATAACAAGCAGATGAAAATTATTTATATTATCTATGTTTATGATAGTTAATTCATATACTATTTAATCTTGACCAGAACCTTACAATCTGTACAGATGAACACTAAAATATTTATAAAAGAAAACAAGGTTATGGATTGTGAAATTTAATTCTAAGAGTCTGCCTATGAAAGAAATATTGTGGGTTGTATAAACTATTTATTAATCGGAATTTTTACCTCGGTGATCCAGGAATGTTAGGCTGTTCCTCGCCGGGACTTGAGCTTATAATAGTCTGATTTACCCAACAGCCATCACAGATAGAGGTGGTCATGACTGGAAAGGAAGACTGATAGCCTGTGTAGTATCCAGTGTTCTTGTTAGTCTTCTCCAGGGATGTTTTGAAGCCCAGTACTCTTCTCGCTTCTGCTGTATCTGCTGGTATACTCTGGTGCACAAGTCTCACCCACGGCGTGAAGAAACAACAGTACTTCCTCCTATTCGTTCTTCGTGACAACTTGGCGTCCTCTTGTGTTAGTAGCGCTTCGCATCTTAGCGAAATTAATTTGTGTTTACTTTTTCCATCCCTTTCAAGATTTCTCGAATTTCTCTGTGAGATCCTCCCTGTCGTGCATTGTCTGAAGAGTTGTCAGTCCCAAGGTCACTCATTGGTCAGAGTATTTGGATAATCGAGACGATTTAACAGAATTTGGTTGGTTTCCTACACTGCGCTGCCTCGTTTATAACACAGTATTGATATTTCAAGCAGTTTCCCGCGCTCTTGATCATTGTATGAAGAAAATACAATGCCATATTTTTGCTTGTTAATCTGATGCGTCATGTTCCCAAAGGCTTAATTATCTTTGTATTACTGGGGATACTTTTGTTATTTTCTATTTTCTTGAGGGATTTTAAGAATCTTACTTTCCTCCTTTATCACGATAATATCTGGTATTTTGTGATTTTTCTTAAGTCTTTTGAATGGCGTTAATATCGAGATTATTATTCTTTCAAGCCTCTTTTTTGCAGTAATTGATTTTTGTGTATCATATATTCTTTAAACTATCGTTCTTGTGAAAAATCCCGCTAATAATAATAATAATAATAATAATAATAATAATAATAATAATTCTTTACAGTATGATAAAGACTCCGAAATCTTTATTAATCCCTTATATACGATGACTTAACTCTTTGAACACGATGACTTAATCTCTCGAGTACGATGACTTAATCCCCAGAGTAAAATGGCATCTTACTTAGGGGAATGGGTAGTTTTATTCAAAGGGTTAATATATCGTACTCAAGGGATTACAGTAAGTTAGTGTACTCAAACGATTAAGTGATTTTATTTCAGAGAGTGTTATTGTACTCGAAGGGTCCAAACACCGTACTCAAAAATGAACTGAAAGATTTAAGTCATTACTTTTAGGTGTTTGATTATTGTACTCAAAATCATAAATCATTAAAATTAAAAGGTTAAGTCATCGTACTCAAGATGTTATAATTTATATTTTATTCTTTTTCGTCGTCGGGATATTTTTATATTCTATAGTTATCCACAGTACGATATACAACATAACGAGAGTCACTAGTACTGAGCCTCAGGCATCTTGTAACAGGGATCTTCTATATAAATGTGACATAATGCAATGCCTATTTTACAAATTGCAATAATATTTTCGTCATACACAGTCTTCAATTCTCCATAAGAAGGATCCAAACTGTCCCGAATTTATTTAATCGAATATATTGAATAAATTTGCAAGATTAAATTTATTACTAATATGACAGTTTTGCTAAGTGCAGTAATAAGGAAATTAATGGCTCATGTTCTTAAAAACCTCATCTTTCTCTCTCAACTGATTTGCATTTATGTAGTATCATAAAGAGCCACATTAGATCACGAGGAAGTGTTCATCTTAGCGTCTCCTTCTCTACAACTGCTTAAATACTGACAAAATAATTTAAAATGATACATTGACAGTCGCAGTCCACAACCAATAGTATCAATGGAAGTTATAAATATGTTATGTCCCACAAGGTCGTGTTCTGGGTCCTCCAGCACACCAACTCCCTCAGGATTACGGTAAGAATTGGTTCTGGTAGTCTTGGTCATAGCCGAAGAGTCCGCCAGCAAGGAGGTTGGAGGGGGTCACATCGCGGTCGTCGTCGTCGTCGTTACCAGCTGGTGGGCTGGCCATGCTCTCAGTGGTAGATGGAGGTGCTAGTAGGGTGCCTGTCCTCTCTATACTTGATGCAGGGAACAGCTCCACAGGACCCTGCAAGATACCGTCCATAGCAGTTTCTAATGGAAGTTCAGCAGTAGTTCTTACATCTACCCCAGAGGAATCGCCAGAGGCAAGTACTGGTGCAGCGGCTATGGGGGCTGCTGGAACAGGAACTACTAAAGGAGCCGCAGGTGCGGGAGCTGGGTTAGCTGCTAAGGGGGCCGCAGGTGCGGGAGCTGGGTCAGCTGCTAAGGGGGCCACAGGTGCGGGAGCTGGTAATGGGGCTGCAAGAGCAGGTGCAGCTAAGGGAGCCGCAGGTGGAGGGGCTGGTAAGGGACTTGCAGGTGCGGGAGCTGGATTACCTGAAAAGGGAGCCGCAAGTGCGGGAGATGGGTTAACTGGTAAAGGAGCCGTGGGTGCGGGAACTGTATTAACTGGTAAGGGAACCGCAGGTGCGGGAGCTGGTTTAGCTAACAAGGGAGCCGCAAGTGTGGGAGCTAGGTTAGATAACAAGGGAGCCGCAGGAGCAGGAGCTGGTTTAGCTAACAAGGGAACCGCAGGTGCGGGAGCTGGCTTAGCTAACAAAGGAGCCGCAGGTGCTGGAGCTGGGTTAGCTGACAAGGAAGCCGCAGGAGAGGGAGCTGGTTTAGCTAACAAGAGAGCCGCAGGTGCGGGAGCTGGGCCAGCGGGTAAGGGGGCACCAAAAGAGGTCACAGTATCAAGTTCTTGGGACGTATCTTGGTCTAGGTCGTCCCGTAAAATAGTCACAAGAGCTGCTACGCGATCACCTGCTAAGGGAGCCTCAGGGTGAGGTGCTGCTAAGGGAGCCTCAGGGGCAGATGCTGCTAAGGGAACACCGGGGACAGATGCTGTTAAAGGAACCTCAGGGACAGGTGGTGCTAAGGGAGCCTCAGGGACAGGTGCTGCTAAGGTAGCCTCAGGGATAGGTGCTGCTAAGGGAGCCTCAGAGGCAGATGCTGCTAAGGGAGCCTCAGGCGCCGGTGCTGTTAAGGGAGCCTCAGGGACAGGTGCTGTTAAGGGAGTTTCAGGGGCAGGTGCTGCTAAGGTAACACTGGGGGCAGGTGCTGCTAAGGGAGCCTCAGGTGCAGGTGCTGCTAAGGGAGCCTCAGGGATAGGTGCTGGTATGGGAACACCAGGGACAGGTGCTGCTAAGGGAGCCTCAGGTGCAGGTGCTGCTAAGGGAGCCTCAGGGATAGGTGCTGGTATGGGAACACCAGGGACAGGTGCTGCTAAGGGAGCCTCAGGTGCAGATGCTGGTATGAGAACACCAGGGGCAGGTGCTGCTAAGGGAGCCTCAGGATCAGGTGCTGGTATGGGAACACCAGGGGCAGGTACTGCTAAGGGAGCCTCAGGTGTAGGTGCTGCTAAGGAAACATCAGGGGCAGGTGCTGCTAAGGCAGCCTGAGGGACAAGTGCTGCTAAGGGAGCTTCGGGGGCAGGTGCTGCTAAGGGAGCCTCAGGTGCAGGTTCTGGTAAGGAAACACCAGGGACAGGTGTTGGTAAGGGAGCATCAGGCGCAGGTGCTGCTAAGGGAGCCTCAGGGACAGGTGCTGGTATGGGAACACCAGGGGCAGGATGTGCCAGGGGAGCCTCAGGTGCAGTGCTGGTAAAAAGGGAAGCACCAGAGGCAGGTGTGAGTAAGGGAGCATCAGGCGCTGGTGCTGCTAAGAGCCTCAGGTGCAGGCTGGCACGAGGTATGGGAACACCAGGCGCAGGTGCTGCTAAGGGGAGCCTCAGGTGCAGGTGCTGGTATGGGAACACCAGGGGGCAGGTGTTGGTAAGGGGAGCATCAGGCGCAGGTGCTGCTTCAAGGGAGCCTCAGGGACAGGTGCTGGTATGGGAACACCAGGGGCAGGTGCTGCTAAGGGGCTTTGAGGGGCAGGTACTGCTAAGGGGCCTCAGGTGCAGGTGCTGTGGTATGGGATTACCAGGGGCAGTTGCTGCTAAGGGGAGCCTCAGGGACAGGTGCTGGTATGCAGAGACACTAGGGGCAGGTGCTAAAGGGGCTTCAGGGCAGGTACTGTTAAGGGGCCTCAGGCGCAGGTGCTGGCGCAACAGGTTTACCAGGGGCAGTTGCTGCTAAAGGGGAGCTTTGGGGGCAGGTACTGCTAAGGGGCCCTCAGGCGCAGGTGCTGTGTGGGATTACCAGGGGCAGTTGCTGCTAAGGGGCCTCAGGGACAGGTGCTGGGCCATGGGAACACTAGGGGCAGGTGCTGCTAAGGGGCTTCGGGGGCAGGTACTGTTAAGGGCCTCAGGCGCAGACTGGCAGTATGGGATTACCAGGGGCAGTTGCTGCTAAAAAAGGGCCTCAGGGGCAGGTGCTGCTAAGGGCCTCAGGGACAGGTGCTGGTAAAGGGAACACCGGGGACAGATGCTGCTAAAGGGCCTCAGGCGCAGGTGCCTGGTATGGGAACACCAGGGGCAGGTGCTGCTAAGGGAGCCTCGGGTGCAGGTGCTGGTATGGGAACACCAGGAGTAGGTGCTGCTAAGGGAGCCTCATGGACAGGTGCTGGTAAGGGAACACCGGGGACAGGTGCTGCTAAGGGACCCTCAGGCGCAGGTGCTGGTATGGGAACACCAGGGGCAGGTGCTGCTAAGGGAGCCTCAGGTGCAGGTGCTGGTATGGGAACACCAGGGGCAGGTGCTGCTAAGGGAGCCTCTGGAACAGGTGCTGGTAAGGGAACACCGGGGATAGGTGCTGTTAAGGGAGCCTCAGGGACATGTGCTGGTAAGGGAACACCAGGAACAGGTTTTGCTAGGGGAGCCTCAGGGACATGTTCTGGTAAGGGAACACCAGGGACAGGTGCTGCTAGGGGAGCCTGAGGGGCATGTGCTAGTAAGGGGAACCTAGTGGAGGCTCCATTGTCAACCACTAGGGGAATTTTTCTGGAGGGTGGTGAATCATCTTCTGAGGAGTCATCAGGAGTCTTTCTTAAGTCAAATTCCAGAGAAGTGACCAATGGTCGGGAATCAGCAGGTAGAGGGACCTTAACTCTGGACTCCGAGTTAACTAACAAGGTGACCTCCGCTGGTGTTGTCTCAGCTCTGGTGGGTTCTGGGACAGTGTTCACCTGGACCTCAGATGAAGATAATAAATGGTTCTTTAAGGGAATTCCACTACCAGGAACACTTAGGTCACCCTTCAAGGGTTTCCTAGGGAAAACTGTTCTTTCTTTTTCCTGAGATGAGTCAAAATCTTCTTTTGGGTCATTCTTTAATAGAGCCAAGGAGGCTGCAGCCCCAGGGATGACTGCTGGAAGGGGCACTCCAAATTTTGATCCCGGTTTAGCGGCTAATGGGGCCCCAGAGGCAGATGTTGGTAAGGGGGACCCAGGGGCAGGTGCTGGTTTAACCGCTAAAGCAGCCCGTGGAACTGGCGATGGTAATGGAGCCACAGAGGCAGGTGCTGGTTTAGCCGCCAAGGGAGCCTTAGAGGTTGGCGTTAGTAAGGGAGCCACAGGGGCAGGTGCTGGTTTAACCGCTAAGGGAGCCCGTGGAACTGGCGATGGTAATGGAGCCACAGGGGCAGGTGCTGGTTTAACCACGAAGGGAGCCCCAGGGGCTGGCGTTGATAATGGAGCCACGGGGGCAGGTGCTGGTTTAGCCACTAAGGGAGCCCCAGGGGCTGGCGTTGGCAATGGAGCCACGGGGGCAGGTGCTGGTTTTGCCGCTAAGGGAGCCCCAGGGGCTGGCGTTGGTAATGGAGCCACAGGGGCAGGTGCTGGTTTAGCCGCTAAGAGGGCCCCAGGGGTTGGCGTTGGTAATGGAGCCACAGGTGTTGTTAAAGGAGCCCCATTGGCTGGCGTCGGTAATGGAGCCACAGGGGCAGGTGCTGGTTTTGCCGCTAAGGGAGCCCCAGGGGCTGGCGTTGGTAATGGAGCCACAGGGGCAGGTGCTGGTTTAGCCACTAAGGGGGCCCCAGAGGTTGGCGTTGGTAATGGAGCCACAGGGGCTGGTGCTGGTAAGGGAGCCATAGGGTCAGATGCTGGTTTAGCCGCTAAGGGAGCCACAGGAGTTGGTGCTACTTTAGTCGCTAAAGGTGATCCAGGGGATAGTGCTGCTAAGGAGGCCCCAGGGGTGGGTGCTGGTAAGGGAAACACAGAAGCTGGTGCTGGTTTAGCCACTGTAGGCGCCCCAGAGGCCGGCGCTAGGTAAGTCAGCGAAGGAGGTCCCTTGGAAGGTACAGATAAAACGCGTGAGGCAGGTGCTGGGTCAGCTGACACGATGGCTCTCCGAGAAGAGACATTACGGTCATCTTCGCTAGAGTCATCAGACTCTGACCCGGATGTAGTTTGCAGGACATATTGTTTTGCTCCTACAGATGGTCCTTGCGAGACCGACCCGGCTGTGTCTGCCTTGCCTTTGGTCTCAGGAACAGTGGCCTGCCCAGTATCGTAAATGAAATTTCCAGGGACGAAGAAGATCCTTGGCGCGGCACCACTCAAGGATGCGGCCGCCAATAGTACCTGCAAGAACATAGATAAATACATAAATCGCTTGTCGCGGAATTTACGTGCATTTAAACATATCTTTGAATTGAATTGAATTGAAACAGTTTATTTACCCAGAAAAACACAGATACAGAGTGGATAATAATAACAATATTAACATGGCTGAGCCAGTTGAGAACCTGAGTTCTCCTTTAGGCACCTGATATATACTATACATTTATCTCAAGGAAGTATTATGTACCATTTAGTATCATCTGGATTAGTACAATAGCATGGTGGTAATAAGAACATCTCACAATGTTACCACGGTTATCACTTCAATATTTATGTATATTATTTATTTATTATTATTATTATTTTTTTACAGTATTTTTATTTTTATTTTAAGTTTATACATAAATTACAGTGGAATTGAAAAACATAAATATAATGGGGATGCAGTACAACATGGGTTGTACAGTATTAAGGTTGAGCAAGAGGACAGAGCTGTCAGGATTATGTCTAGTTGGCAAAAATATTTATTGCAATGGTAATTTATTATCTATTTACATGATAATTTCCGATAAAACGGTTTTGATGGTACAATAAAAGCAGGTACTGTAAATATAGTAGGTATTACAAGAAATATTAATACTTAGACAATAGATATTTTTTAAGAGATGATTTAAAGGAAGGGAGCGTAGTCTTTGCTTGGATGGGTGGGGGTAAATTGTTCCACACCTTCACATCATGATATTTTATGGAGGTCTGGGACTGAGTGCCTTAAGTTGTATCTTTGATTATTCCGGAACTGGAAATAATTATTGTCAAGCAAGTGATTGATAGATTTGTAAACAAAGAGGGCACAGCAGTAGGTGTTAATATCTTCGAATTTTAACATTTTCAATTAAGCAAATTTTTCGTTTGTGTGATCTATTTTATTCAAGTAGGTCATTGTCCGTACAACTCTCTTTTGTGCAGGGATTGTGTTTTTGAAGAGCCAGAGGCCCCCCATAGTGTGTGATAGTGTATCAGATATTGGTAAACAAGATCATGATAGATTTCTTTCATTGCTGTGAGAGTGAGTGACTGTCGAGTGTGATACATGATACCCCACTGTTTATTGACTTTACTGTAAATGGCTTGTATGTGGTTTCTCCAGTTAAGTTTCTCATCAACAATAACTCTGAGGAATTTAGTAGTTTGTTCGCATTTGAGGACTGTATTACCAAGATACAGGGGGTCCAAGTCTGGGGGTAAGTTTTACCTTCCTATTTGTTATGCATATGTGCAGATTATTTGTTTTAATGAAGTTATTGGTGGTATTGAGTTATTGTAAGAGTGTAAAGCGAATAAACTTTTAAGATTAGTTCTTGATTGTGGTACATTATGTATAGTTCGTATTACGTTAATTATGAAATTATTCAAGAAATATATCATCTTGAATACTCTTAGACCCATATATGATTATTTTCCTTTTTAGGCAAACTATAAAATATTTACATTTATGTTCTGTTATATTGTTTCAGTGATTTTGTATCATCATCTGCTGAACCTCAAAAATAAAAAAAATTATCTTAACAAAATCTGAATTTTACGTTTTGGACCTGACGATAAGCGGTTGCCTGGACCGTGTTGTTGATCACTTCAACAGAAAACAACTTCAACAGAAAACAAAAACATTGGCAAAAATAATGGAGCGAATGTAAAAAGAATAAAAAAGTGGTATTATACCAACACACCAGTCAGTGACATCCGGAGTGAAGTATTAGATGTCAGGTTCCTGTACAGAAAATACCTCTATGCTGAAACATGTTATGTTTGTTCTCAACAACACAATTCCTTTATACACTCTAAGTTATGATGTTAATATTATTTCCTATATCAAACTATCAACTTTTATTATTTATTGAAGTGAGTTACTTCAGTAAATAATAAAATATCTTCAACTGTATCATAATAATAAGCTCGAATATCAATTACTGTAAAATGTGTTGCCATTTTTTCAACTTTGTAAGTCTACTGGCGTCTGTAAATGTCATGGCCGAGTGCTTTGAAAACTGGACTTAAATCAAAGTTGAATCCAATCCAGGGTGATGACTGAAACTGATACCGTATATGTAGCTGAAAATTACCAGTAACATATGCATGGTCAAGTTCTTACAAGTTGCGCCTGGGCGAGCACTTAGACATCCGTAGCTGTCTTAAAAGGTCATACATAACGAAGTTTACCACCATTCAGCCACGATGGAAATGGGTACTAGTTTACCCAGGCTAATGTATGGTAGACCTGGAGCCGAGTACAGCATGAGATTTTCTCTATGATTTGTACAAGAGGAAAAACTAGCCGTGATCAGCACCTTAACAAAGTTGGGTAAAGTGTGGACGAGGTTTCAGATTTAGAAATTCCTTAATAAACAAATAAGACTTAAAAGTTATATTCAAACGCTTTGTTTATATCAGTTATTACTATACGTGTTTTTTCTTTGGTAGTTTATCTTCCTTAATTCATTTATCACCCTGCATCTGTTGTTACCACTTTTTCTCCCAAATTTAAGCGACTAATGACTTGGTAAATAAACCCGAGCACCTTGAGTTATAGGTAGGAAAGACTGTTTTTCTTTTTAAGCAAGACGGGACGCGCGGATGCTCTTAAACTTGAGGTGTGACGAGAAAAACATCACAGTGCTCTTGACTTTGTGAGTAAAATAAAAATACCGCATAAGTACAGTAATGATCTTAAAGTCGTATTACCATAGCAGAAAAATCCTAAAGTGTTCTTCAGCATGAAGCAGTGAACAAGTTAAATCTTAATATACTCTTAACGTTGTGTGAATAAATAGAAAATAATATATAGTACATTACTTTTGGTTGATTATTTCGTATGCCTTTTGAAGCTATTAAATATATATTGATCTTCCCGAGTTGAAACTAAATTAAATTAAATGAGAATCTATAACACAATATTTTTTTAACTGCATTTATTGTCTCTGTGAATAACCTCGTAATGATATCATGGGTATTTACTGATGCTCAATCAATAATAATATATTCTGACGTGATAATTCTGTCTATAGCCAACACATCACGGATGTCAGCTGACGGTCAACAAAAACACAGCTTTGATGTGTTGTAGTTGTTGCTGATATCCAAACCATGCCAGCGAACCGTTATCGTGGCCGGGTAAATTCTGAACTAGTGACACTTTTCCTGTGAATTAATAGAATGACTGCTGGAAACTATCACGTTATCGGCTTCTTTAACGCCCTAAAGTCCTGTGTGTTGTCATCACACGAAACCTTGGTCAAGGGAATTTGACACCAAAAATTTATATGTGGGTTTTGTCACATGTTTATCAAACTGCCAATTTTGGTGCAAATTCGCAAACCCGTCCTCAATTTATTTTGGAAATAGACAGACAGACAGGACAAAAAGTACACTGCCTCACAGACTCCACGATAGGGAGGCCTGGAACCACACCTCACCCACTTGAGTGAGTGAAGTCCTGTGACAACAGATCAAGCGGTGTCCCCATGATGCACGACACCACGTAGTGAATGAGTTGCTACAGCATCATGTGAAGTTCCTCAAAACACCATCTGCGAGGGAATTACTACACCACGTGATGCTCCTCATAACACCATCTTTGAGGGAATTACTACCCCATGTGATGCCCCTCATAACACCATCTGTGAGGGAATTACTATGCCATGTGATGACCCTCATAACACCATCTGTGAGGGAATTACTAGACCACATCAGGCCCCTCATACACCATCTGTGAGGGAACTACTACATCATCAGGCCCCTCGTAACACCATCTGTGAGGGAATTACTACGCCACTTCAAGCCCCTCATAACACCACCTGTGAGGGAACTAGTACTCCACGTGATGCCCCTCATAACGCCATCTGTGAGGGAGTTACTACACTGGGTGTCTGCTGTTCAACACCTCAGCTCACATGATCTACGTGTGTAAACATTAATCTGTATGTTCATTGTATATGTTCCTTCACCTTTCTCTAATGAAGGCTTTTATTAAACCACCAATGTATGTAATAAGTCATTTATGTCCAATGTATATTTTTAGCCTTCGGGCTGCAAACTTTTTCAATAAACCGTTTATTATTATTATTAGTAGTAGTAGTAGTATTAGTATTATTATTTACTTCATTCCCAACACGTCCACCAGACACATAAGAACATAAGAACATAAGAAAATAAGGAGTCTGCAAAAGGCCGGTTGGCCTGCGCATGGCAGCTCCTGTCGAGAGTTACTACCACTCTCTATCATCCATGAATCTATCTAGCCTCCTTTTGAAACTTTCCAGAGTTCCCGCACTTACTACAAAGTTGGTAAGCTTGTTCCACTCGTCCACCACCCTATTTGTGAACCAGTTTCTTCCTATCTCCCTCCTAAACCTAAACTTATCCAACTTGAATCCGTTGCTCCGAGTCCTATCCTGCTCGGATATTATAAGAACTTTATCTATATCCTTTATTGATTCCTTTCACCCACTTAAATACTTCTATCAAGTCTCCCCGCACTCTTCGTCTTTCTAGGAATGCAAGTTAAGTTTCTTTAACCTATCCTGATATGGAAGGTTTCTAAGTCCCGGAATCATTTTTGTCATTCTTCGCTGCACCGACTCTAGTGAATTTATATCCATTCTATAATAGGGGCACCAGAACTGAACCGCATAATCGAGGTGCGGCCTGACTAGCGCAAGATATAGTTGCAATAAGACCTCTGCACTCTTGTTACTTACACTTCTAGATATAAAACCCAATACTCAGTTTGCCTTATTTCGAACATTAACGCACTGCACACCCACCAGATACCCACCACACCCAACACACTCCCAAGACACCCACCACACCACCACAACAAACACTAAACCACTTACCACCAGACGGGGGATGCTGGGCGCCATGTCTGCCCGACTATGGCTGGGGAACAGAGAGTGACGAGATAACTTGACTGCCTCACTGCCTCAGTATATAAACACGGTCTCTCCTCCCTCACACAAGGTCGCCTGGCTGGACAACGGGACACCTGCTGGAGTACTGTGCCAACGAGTGTCCTGACGCGGCGTTATATACCTGTATAAGCGATCTGTTGCCAGCTAGGATAAGATCAGCTTTGTTGTCAAGGATGTGCTCACTGTTGCCAGGATAGATACCAGTGGTGTCAGGTTATGTCAGGTCTTTCTGTGAGGTAGGAGAAAATTCATCTTTGTTACGGTGGGTTCAGTGTTGTCAGGATGTGTTCAGTGTTGTCAAGATGTGCTCAGTGTTGTCAGGATGTGTTCAGTGTTGTCAGGATGTGTTCAGTGTTGTCAAGATGTGCTCAGTGTTGTCAGGATGTGTTCAGTGTTGTCAGGATGTGTTCAGTGTTGTCAGGATGTGTTCAGTGTTGTCAAGATGTGCTCAGTGTTGTCAGGATGTGTTCAGTGTTGTCAGGATGTACCCAGTGTTGTCATGATGTACCTGGTGTTGTCATGATGTGCTCAGTGTTGTCATGATGTGTTCAGTGTTGTCATGATGTACCCAGTGTTGTCATGCTGTACCCGGTGTTGTCATGATGTGCTCAGTGTTGTCATGATGTGTTCAGTCTTGTCATTATGTACCTAGTGTTGTCATGATGTACCCGGTGTTGTCATGATGTGCTCAGTCTTGTCATGATGTGCTCAGTGTTGTGATGATGTACCCAGTGTTGTCATGATGTGCTCAGTGTTGTCAGGATGTGCTCATTGTTGTCATGATGTACCTAGTGTTGTCATGATGTGCTCAGTGTTGTCATGATGTGTTCAGTGTTGTCAGGATGTGCTCATTGTTGGCATGATGTGCTCAGTGTTGTCATGGTGTGCTCGGTGTTGTCAGGATGTGCTCGGTGTTGTCATGATGTGCTCAGTGTTGTCATGATGTGCTCGGTGTTGTCATGATGTGCTCAGTGTTGTCATGATGTGCTCAGTGTTGTCATGATGTGTTCGGTGTTGTCAGGATGTGCTCGGTGTTGTCATGATGTACCCAGTGTTGTCATGATGTACCTAGTGTTGTCATGATGTGCCTAGTGTTGTCGTGATGTGTTCGGTGTTGTCAGGATGTGCTCAGTGTTGTCATGATGTACCCGGTGTATAACTCAAAACAGTCGCACACATAATTAATAATGGTTGCCCCTCGTGTAACGAGGATGGCCGGCCCGAGGGCCACTTCGGCGTGAATTTGTTTGAGGTGTAGAAGCTGTCAACAACACAACACCCACACCCTAAGTTAACGAGCTGCTTGACCCAGTGACAAGGAATAGTCGGAGAATACCGGACAACTGGCCAACTGCACTGGCTAACCATTACGCTGGAATACGATCCGCAAATCGATTAACATCCAGGTCCCCAATTACTGCTGGGAAGACAGAAGAAAGTGGCGTAAGGAAACTTACCCATAGTTTCACCCTGCCTGGGAATCGAACCCGGGTCTGCTCGCTTGCGAGGCGAGCATGAGAACCATTACACCACATACATACATACGCCATCACCCTCAGGCAAAACGCAGAAACATGCGTAAACACGCAATCAAACACCCAAACCAGATCATATGACACGCACACAAAAACGCGCGAGTAAGCATTCCCACACCAGTGCGCTCAGACGCAAACACAACACACAGATACGTCCAATGACACTCGCGCGCAGAAACAAACACACACACACACACACACACACACACACACACACACACACCACAGTCAGAGACAAGAGACAATAAAAACAAAACAAATTCCATCACCTATAACTTATTGAAGGACTCTTGTTAATATGACGTTACTCAAGACTACAGCACCCAGACTTGCCAAATAACTGTCCTCTCTTGATAGCCAATCACATGAGTTCACTTTGGCTACACCCCCAGGATAATACATAAACTAACCTTGTCCTCTATGCCTTCTATTGGTTAATCTCTTCTCCTAATCATAGACAACAGAGATTTTTACCTATAATTTACATAATGGCTACCCCAATTAGAGGTAGCCAAGGGGAAGGTGTTACATTGATTATTATAGCCACGGAAGTCTATAATTTGACGTCATTTTGGCTACGAACTTTGCAACACGTAGGTTAAGGAAGTCTTGTAGATGCGTCTGTCTCACTTCTCCACAATTTTGGCGAAAGTTTAAGGACGATGGGAACCTTGTAGGCTGCAGAGGGCGCCAGGAGTGTCGTTTGCTCTTTAAAATCTTTACTGGTACTATGAGAGTATACTGTCCATGGTTAGGTTAGATTAGAATGGAGTAGATTATGTTATGTTAAGTTAGGTTTGATTAAGTTTGATTAGGTTTGATTTATTATGTTGGATTATGCCAGGTTAGGTTAAGTTTGATCAGTTTATATTAGATTAGGATCGCGTTAAATTAGGTGAGGTCAACGTTAGATTAGACTAAATTGGATTAGGTTAGGTTATCATTAGGATGGCTAATCTAAAGGTGAAACGAGATGAGACAAGGTGACAGCAAATCTACAGGTGATCCCCTGCTTCTTATAAACAGTATTGTGTGTGTGTGTGTCAAGACATCTAAACACGAAATGAATATAATTCTTTAATGCCTCACCTACCCACCCTCACCCCAGCCATCCCCTCCTCCTCTTCCCCCCCCCCCTCACCCCGGAGCAGAATAAATATAAGGTGATGGGGTCTTGTATTAAGTGATGAGGTCGTGTATTAGGTGATGGGGTCGTGTATTAGGTGATGGGGTCGTGTATTAGGTGATGGGGTCGTGTATTAGGTGATGGGGTCGTGTATTAGGTGATGGGGTCGTGTATTAGGTGATGGGGTCTGTATTAGGTGAGGGGTCGTGTATTTGGTGATGGGGTCGTGTATTAGGTGATGGGGTCGTGTATTAGGTGATGGGGTCGTGTATTTGGTGATGGGGACGTGTATTTGGTGATGGGGTCATGTATTAGGTGATGGGGTCGTGTATTGGGTGATGGGGTCGTGTATAAGGTGATGGGGTCGTGTATTAGGTGATGGGGTCGTGTATAAGGTGATGGGGTCGTGTATTAGGTGATGGGGTCGTGTATTAGGTGATGGGGTCGTGTATTAGGTGATGGGGTCGTATTTGGTGATGGGACGTGTATTTGGTGATGGGGTCATGTATTAGGTGATGGGGTCGTGTATAAGGTGATGGTCGTGTATTAGGTGATGGGTTCGTGTATAAGGTGATGGGGTCGTGTATTAGTGATGGGGACGTGTATTTGGTGATGGGGACGTGTATTTGGTGATGGGGTCATGTATTAGGTGATGGGGTCGTGTATGGTGATGGGGACGTGTATTTGGTGATGGGATCGTGTATAGTGATGGGGTCGTGTATTTGGTGATGGGGTCGTGTATAGGTTGATGGGGACGTGTATTAGGTGATGAGGTCGTGTATTAGGTGATGGGGTCATTTTGTGATGGGGACGTGTATTTGGTGATGGGGTCGTATAAGGTGATGGGACGTGTATTTGGTGATGGGGTCGTGTATAAGGTGATGGGGTCGTGTATTAGGTGATGGGGTCGTGCATTGGGTGATGGGGTCTGATTGGCGATGAGTCGTGTATTAGGTGATGGGTGTGTATTAGGCGATGGGGTCGTGTATTGGGGTGGGGTCGTGTATTAGGTGATGGGGTCGTGTATTAGGTGATGGGGTCGTGTGTATAGGCGATGGGGTCGTGTATTAGGTGATGGGGTCGTGTATTAGGTGATGGGGTCGTGTATAAGGTGATGGGGTCGTGTATTAGGTGATGGCTCGTGTATTAGGTGAGAGTCATGTGATGATTGATGGGTCGTGTATAAGGTGATGGTCGTTATTAGGTGATGGGGTCGTGTATTAGGCGATGGGGTCGTGTATTTGGTGATGGGTCGTGTAGGTGATGAGGTCGTGTATTAGGTGATGGGGTCGTGTATTAGGTGATGGTGTCGTGTATAAGGTGATGGTGTCGTGTATAAGTGATGGGGTCGTGTAGGTGATGGGGTCGTGTATTAGGTGATGGGGTCGTGTATTAGGTGGTCATGTATTAGGTGATGGGGTCGTGTATAAGGTGATGGGGTCGTGTATTTGGTGATGGGGACGTGTATAAGGTGATGGGGTCGTGTATTTGGTGATGGGGTCGTGTATTAGGTGATGGGGTCGTGTATTAGGTGATGGGGTCGTGTACACATACTTGCCACACAACCCCGAGATTCACAGCACAGTGTAGCTGTTTGTGTGCACTTTGATATTCTTTCGTCTACCTGATTTACCCAGTGGCCCCCAGCAACCGTGTAGAAGTAAGTGCAGGGTTACAGGATAAGTTAGGTTTGGTTTGGTTAGCTTAGGTTGTTTTGTTAAGTTAGGTTAGGTTAGACAGGGTGAGTTAGGTTAGGTTTGATTTGGTTTGGCTCTATTAGGTTAGGTTAGGTTCTCTGAAATGGGAAAAGAGCTCAAAAGCCATTGCTGCGTTTCTGTGATAGTCCACTCTATCCTCTATCTATCTATCTATCTATCTATCTTCTGTCTGTCTGCGTGTCTCTCCAACATTTTATCAATAACTGGGCAGCATTCCGAAAACACGCACAAGAACAAAATTGCATTAGGGTAAGAAGTGCGGTGTGTGTGTGTGTGTGTGGACAATAATTAACTTATTCACACACACAGTATTCATAAAAACCATGAACCATTATCTATAAACCAGAAACACTGAACCATCAACCATAAACCATCAACCATAAATCCTGAACCATCAATCACGAACCCTGAACCATCAACCATGAACCATTATCTATAAACCAGAAACACTGAACCATCAACCATAAACCATCAACCATAAATCCTGAACCATCAATCACGAACCTTGAACCATCAACCATAAATCATCAACCATAAACCCTGAACCATAAACCCTGAATCATCAACCATAAA